TATTTTTCATGGCTGTACATATCTATTTTAGTTAATTCTAGACACTTACTGAAAAATTGTCCGATTCCCTATTGTTTAATATCCAAATCCAAAATATTAATAAAGTCTTATGTAAAAAAAATCCCAAAAAGTAAAATCCCAAACAGACATAAGACTGCAGTCCTAATTAATATGTTTTAGTTTATTCTAATTTCTATTATTAATTAATAATAAATTAAACTTAATAAAAATTCATTCAATAAAATATTTTGTAAAAATTAATGTAGCGTAAATTGGAACGTTTTCTTTGTGAAATTAAAAATAAGGTATTTAATTAATAACTATTGTAACTATAGTGAAAAAAATAGGGTGGTTTGCATCAATATTAGACATAACTGGTTGAAGACTGTACCACCTCAGTCAACCGTGACCATGAGACCTGTAAAGGGCCCGAAACGTCGGTTTGTTTGAAAAAACAAATATACGCGATTTAAATGCGATAAAATAGTTTCATTTCCTATGTGTAACAATCGCGAAAACCTAAGAACTCGATTTGTATATAATTCTTCTGTTACTTATATACTTATTTAGTTCGTATGCCTTAAGGCGCAGCATAGAGGGTCACCGCAAATTTATTTATCACAATTTCAATATGTCTATTGTGACCTAAGTTGACGAATAAATTTATTTTTTATAATTTGAATTTGAAAATTTGAATTTGAATATTTTTTAAACACTCACATATTTTTTAAACACATCCTCACAGGATTATATTACTAATATGGTAAACAACAACTTTAGTTCCAAGATTTTTTACAAAACAATAAATTTGCCAAAAATAAACTTATTATACTATTTGACAGTTTTTAGATCAGTGCCTCTACCATGAAATTACAGTGACAGTTTATTTATTCATTTTAGCGACCGCGTAAAATGTATACAAAATGGTGTTTCTTCTTGTGCCCGCTAGAGGCGCTGTGTAATTTACTATACAAAATTGTGAAGTAAACTTTAATAGTAAACTCGTGGTAGAGGCACCGTATTTGGTAGTTAGCGTAAGGTATAGCTGCCTGCTCGACGACCCCGCGCCCCTGTCTTGCATTTTGCACCAGGTTATCACAGTTTAAAGCAATTTAATTAAATATTTATACTTTTGTATGAAAATAAAACCTGGTAAGTTACTAAAAGTTATGGAACAAAAGGTGTTGTTATTTATGATGTTAGTAATATGGAGTATAATGTATGCGACGTTGTTAGTACTAATATTGTAATATTATACATAATATTTTACATTTTAACAAAAAAGACTTGTCTTCAAAACGTGGTACAACTAAATTTTGTACAGTGATGTCCTGTTTTAACCGCTATGTAAAAAGGTCATTCATTATTTAAAGGTCGGGAAACCACTAGAAAAAGGTGAGGAGAACATTTTTAATACAATTCAATACATGAGAGAAATAGATAGATAAAATATGTATTTGGATCTACAGACACACACACACACAACAGAAAAATATGTAATACCTATAATAAAAATAAAAAAACCGGCAGAGTCGCAGCACTGACGAACACTCAGTTATGTGTGTGCTTTAGCAGTGCAAAAAGGCCATAGCTCAGCGTCGGTGTTTACTCAGGAGCAAACCGCTGATTTTCAGCGATAACAGGATGCCGCGGATACGGCAACCAGCCAGCTGACGCCATTTTCATGTTGTATAAATTAAACAAATAATAATTTCGAAACTAAATAAATACGGAATATAATATAAATAAGTATAATAACTGATATTTTTTTTTACATTTGAAATAACTATGTTAATGCTTATTACATAAAAGTAAATATAGTTATAAATAGGTAAATCCTGTTGCTATTACACAATGTTATGTAGACAATTTTCGCTACCTAAGCAAAGCGCTGTGGTACTAAAATATCCTTTTTTGAGAGTCTAGAAGTGCCCTTACCTTTTCCTTGATTAGATTTTATAAATACGTAAATAATAACGAATATAATGTAAAATATGTAAAAACTGAAACTACAAAAACCCGGCGATATGATTCAAAATGTATAACAATAGTTCATTACCAAATAAACGAAAAAACGGAATGACTCTAGTGCGGATCATACCGATTCGGTACGCGAAAAAAAAATTTTAATAACGGCAACCATAGCTTTATTGACTGAAATAAATACGTCATGGGGAGGTTTATAAAGGGCTCTTTGATCGAAAGTTTATCACACATTGCATGCCATGCTACGGCCACTGGAATCAGCGAAACAAGATCTACAACCCTCTATAATCGGTTTTTTTATATCTTATTCATTTTCAGTTTTATTAATAAGCAGAATCACGGAATAACTATAAGTGCCAATATCTCGAAAGTTACCTAAATGAAAATGAGTTAGTTCTAGTACTCTTTTCTGTCATTTTGGCCTTTTTTCTATGTTTATCGCGGAAATAAGTTCTAATGAGAAGAGCGATTATGAAAATAAACATTTATGGATACACAATAAACCACGTCATCAGAAGTTCAACAGATTACTATTAATTGTGCCTGGAAAAACTATGTCAAATATTACTTTTAATTTTAATGAACCCTTTTTTTAACAATTTTTTTACTTTTTTGTTATAGATCTTCTTTCTTTTTTTTAATTCATTTATTCAAAAAAAGTTTTATACATTTACAACAGTACATCTCCCGCCAAACTGGAAACAGTTTGCTGGCGAGCACGCTCTCACACATTCTATGTTAATTCTTAATTAATGAATTAATAGCACACAATAAAAACAACAAACAACTAATATAATTAATATAACTAAACTTAGACTTAACTTCTACTAACTATCCTAATAATATATTTTTTAATTTAGATTTTAAAATTTTGTCTTTAGTCTTCTATTATTTCTTGGTATTATTTGAGAAAATCACTATGTAAGCCTCGGCGGGAACGGGGATTGCTTGATTCGTATTAAAACTCATACTCGTCCAGCAATCCCTTACTTCCCGGCCTCTGCAATAATGTACTATTTATATAGACATAGGAAAAGGTACTTACAGTTTACCTCTGTGGTATCCAAAATGCAAGCTTTCTTTTTAAAGTACCTGGCCTTTGCCACAGTATACATCATCCTTGCGAAGTAAGCTACGTCGAGCGAGCTGTACAGAATTAGCGCCCCTGCAGCCATACATGCACCCCATGCGGGGACGCATACTGTCCACATTGCCCCCTCCTGGAATCGGTTAAATTAATGCGTGAAATAAAAGCATTTGAATTTGGAAAGTGTGCGCCACAGGATTACAGGTCAAAAGTGCTTTTATGACTATATTAACTCCCGCGGACGTAATCGAGCCAACTGGCATTTTTATTTTTCAAGTGCAAGAATATTTTTTTTTTATTATCATTGAAGAAAAAGTTTTTCCCGGTTTCGCAAATTCAAATATTCAACAAAATCTTTTGGAAATATTCTTTAGTACACCAGTTTCAAACTTGAATTAATATCAATCAAACATTATTTAAGCTAAGGACATTTAATACCATCAAGTATTAAACCATACTCGATGTTTAATACTGACAATGCAAACTGGCTCGAAATACATATATGTCCGGGAGTTCATAAGCACCACATACGTTGTTATGATTCCAAAGTAAAAGTAAGCTAAAGCACTTGGGTTATGGAAATCGGAAACAACGATGGTGCCACAAACACCCAGACCCGAGACAATAACAGAAAAGTTCGTTTTCTACATTGACCCGGCCGAGGATCCAACACGGGACCTCAGAGATGGCGACCCCATGAAAGCCAGTGTGCAAGCTACTCGAACGGAGGCCGTCAAAAATAACTATTTATTTAATCATATGTAATTAATTACAAAAATATTTTGAATTAAATTAAATAAATTATGTATGTCGCCGCTTAGCAAACAACAACGCTTAAAAGTAGGTGGTTTCAAGTGTTTTTATAGGAGAGTGAAAAACCTGCATATATTATTATATAAAAGGCTTTTATAATTTTTTTTACATATTATTAATAATAGGTTAAAATTAATATTATTACAATTACTAACAAAAGGTAAAAAAATCTTTAATACAATATAACTCCTATAAAATTACTTGAAATTACATAAGCGATGTTGTACGATATACATAATTTTGTTTAAAAACATTTTTGTAACTAATTAGTTTTGATTAAATAAATAGTTATATTTAATGGCCGCCGTAGTCGAGTAGCTTGCACATCGGTTTCCATGGTGTCGCCATCTCTGAAGTCCCAGGTGCGACCCTCGGACGGGTCATGTAGAAAACTCACTTTTCTATTATTGTCTCGGGTCTGGGTGTTTGTGGTAACGACGTTGTTCCCGATTTCCATAACCCAAGTGCTTTAGCTACTTACTTTGGGATCACAGCAACGTATGTGATGCTTATACTTATTCTTACTTAGGTAGTAACTTTAATATAGTCATTACGTAAAATTTTATAACTGTCCTAGTGAAGCATAAAAAGTTATGGACCAATTTCGTTCGTAGCTACTTGAACAATTTTGTCATTGTGTAGATGTGGCCTTTATTACAATTTTTCTATATTAATTTCAAAGATAATTACAATTTCACAATACTCGGTTCTTATGCTGCTATTCTTTTTTGTTAACGAAGTACTTAATTTTTTTGCACTAACAACACTAAAATAGAGAAGTCAGATCCAAAACACAAATTTATATGAAACCTGTTTTTAAATTTTGAAGATCTCGACTACAGAAGAGTACTAGTGCTAGGGTAGCTATTAACTGACTGAAGAAAAACAATTAACTCTGGATAGTACACTTAGCTTCAATACGATTGGATCAATGGGTAAAGTAACCAATTACAACAAATTGAAATTGGTCAATTTAATTTACACTAAAACCTTTATAATTGTTTTTCTTGTCGTATCAATATATACACTATAATACAATAGGCCTTCGTGGTAAAATGGATTAGCCAATCGAGGCAAAGTACTCGACGATTGGTGGCCGGGCTACGTGCTCCAGACGCACAGGAAAGGACGTACCTACGTCGTCTTTCACACACCCCACTTTTATAATAATTATTTATTTCATGGTGGCACTTCACTTGGCTATTTGTATTCTTCTTGTTTGTTCTTATTCTTCTTGTCTGACGTTTATATTTGACGTGCCACCATTAAAACAGGGGGACAACGAAAGTTGCTTGTCGCAATGATGTAGTTCCCAGTATATTTTTTTTATTATATCAAGTGATGGGACGAACAAGTCGTGCGCCTGATGATAAGCTGCACCCCTGTCCAAAATAGTTACAGTGCCACCCAGAGCTTTAAATTGCAAAGATGTGAGGGGACTGCGACTGTGCCCGTCGCCCTGAGACATAAGTTCACAAGTCCCATGTACCTGTGATTTCACCAGCACCCTTACCCTTCAAAACCGGAACACTGTAACGCTGATGTTACTGCTTGGCGGCAGAAATAGGTAAGGTGGCAGTACTACCCTGGACGAACTCTTTAACAAGGAGCTGTACTGCCACAAAAAATGTCTGGCGCACCCAACAATCAACAAGAATCTTATTGGCAAATGCCTTCACCACGATGGCAAATACGTCCCATAGTTCTGCATGGCGGCTACTAGCGACGCGTTCGACGTCTAAGAGTGGTTACACACGGCGACATCGCATCGCTAGACTTGGATTTATAGGCGATTGCATCGCGCGCTTATATCGATGTAGTCGCGCGCTTGCATCGCTGCTTCAAATTGCGCACGTGTGTAAGGTAGACGATTAGCGACTGCATTGCTACAGCATCGCGTTTGCATCGCTGAAAAAGTCACCTTGTGTAACCTCTCTAAAATATCCATAATATTAACCTTAGAGTTAAGTCCAAACTCATGGCACCACGGTTTCGTTTAACCAAGGTAAACGACACTTTTATGGGAACTATATGCGTACAATAAGATTCCGGAGCATATATTAAGATTTTCATTTCCTAAGTTCAAAAATTACATTAAAAATATTTTGATTGAAAAGTCATATTACAAAATCAAAGAGTACGTGTTAGATAAAGACGAATGGAAAGACGACATGGCTTCCGATTCCATACAAATTTGATTCAAAGTATATTCCATAGCATGTAAGTTTATTTGAAAGCAATCCCTCGAGTTTCTTACTTGTTCTTCTCAGGAAAGTCAGCGTAGTGAACGAGCAGTAGCTTAAAAGTAACTTAAATGTGACGTTTTGAAGTGTAAATTTATAATTTATTTCACCTATGGAATAAACGATTCTTTGACTTTGGCTTTGACTCTGCGCCTCAAAAATATAGTATAATGGCATACTGGGTCATACATAAACAACAGGCATACAAACCATAAAAAACTGCAACACCAAAAGTATATAAAACACGTAGTCGCATCCAATGGGCAAATATCTACGAGTCCTAGTTCATAGCGTATCGATGGCGTAGGTACACTACAATGCTTGCTATCGTGGTGGAAGGGTTTGCCAATCGGCGTAAGATACTCGCGTGTCGTAAGGTACTCGCGTGTAAGTACAGTCTAAAGGTACGTGTGCGTGTGCATCTATATGACCTTGGCTTGTTGTTGTTGGCCCAAACGGGTTGCACAGGATGTTCCAGACTCGATTCTCGGTCAGGTGGACCTTTTTATTATTATACTAAGTAACAGGACGAATAAGTCGTGCGCCTGGTGGACAGCGACTCGCCTGTCCATAACAGTTGCAGTGCTACTCAGAGCTTTAAATCGCAATGATCTGAGAGGCATTCCACCGATCCACTCGACCACTGGGGGTCGATTTACACGGTATGAATTCCGTTTCTCTGGTACTCTCTCTATGGTACAGGGAATTTCGTACTTTAAGACCAGGTAATTGATGTGTTTGTCTGACATATTATCATAATCGTAGTCGGGGATAGTACAAATCCGCGTATGTGGCATTGGCAAACCAAATTTTTACAGGAGAAGGATTTAACGTTAATACTTTGTTATTTCAATGGTTACAACTTTCACTTTTACACAGTAAGCATTAATTTATGTTGTCTACGGATTGATAACCATAGATTCCCGTAAATCACGCTAATTTAGTTCCCATGACATATAACAGGATTTGATTGAACACTAAATTACCGAAATGGAAACTCATAATCAAATGCTAGTTGATAATAAGATGTTTTGCAGGCAGATTGTATACCTAAACAAAATTAACAACTTCTCAGATGTTTCAAATCATGTATTTATCCGTTGAGATAACTTACACGCTGACTGTACTAACTACACTAGTAACTAATCAAAAAACTACGTGGAGAAGCCCAATGATTTCTCTAATATAAAGGGAAATTACTTTTACCATATACAATTGTGTTAAGTATACGGCAGGACTCTACCGAGTGGAAAATTTTCTAACGAAGTAATCGACATTCTTAACATTTTAAATAGAATGCCATTTTTGATCACTTTTAAAGTACAGTCAAGAGCACAACAAACTTGACACTGGGCTTTCAAATCAAATCATAAACGGCATAGAGTTAAAGGAGTTGTTCCTTTAGTGGCACTAAAATAAATGAAAAATTTAACCAGGCTATTAGTTGATTTTTTGTAAAGAGCTGTCAAAATCTAGAAAGTGTGAATTAAAAACAAGTTATTTTTGACCTGCAATTTCCACAAAATCGTTACAGATTTTTATGTAAACTATATAAAGTAAAACGGAACGCAATCCCACGAAACGGAATGGATTTTTATGTAATTTTTTGGCTAATGGGCCAGTGGCCAATGCCATAAGAAAATATTGACAGATCCGATGTCAAAGTCATTCTTGTTGCAATTTAATTGCCAATTAAAATTATGATTTTGAATATTTTAACGTTTAAGTGTTTCTGCTTTTGGACTTTTTTTATATGTTTCACAGTGTTGCTGGAATTAATTTAACGTATCTACCACACTTTTGTTTTAAACGAATAAATAAAAAATGCAGGTCACAATAATTTTTTTATTGTTTTGCTAAGCTCTTTATTTCAAGCTTAGATCTGGTAAAAAAAATTGAGCCTGGTTAAATTTTTCTGGGAATAAATACTAATTCGGCACAAGTCCTCTGAATCTTAAGTGTCAAGTGGTCAGGAGATAGAAATAAATACAAATCATTCTTCACTCTTATAGTAAAAAGGGTCTGTGCCTCTACCATGAGATTACAATGGCAGTTATCGCTTGCGATCGCGTAAATGTTTGTCTTCTTCTTAATCGCTATTACTGAGAATCATGCCTCCACTTCATCCTGCCAACCATTTGCCTCCATCGGTTGCGCTGTCGTATGACGTAGTGCGGCGCTGACAGGTAGCTCCAGTTGCTCGGAGATCTGATCTGACCACCTTTTGGGACTCCTGCCTGTCTCTTTCATTCCCACCTTCCCTGTCACCATCAAACGTTCGTCGTCTGTTATCAGCATCTCTACGTGCCACGTAACCAAAATAGCGTATCACACGCTGCATGCAAATTGCAAACAGACGCTGTGATTTCTTTATCTTGAGTTTGAGTTTCTCAAGTACAGCGACGGCTGTCCCTTAACATTGTGCGCCAGCACCACATTTCAAAGGCGACACTTGTCTGCCAGTCGGCGGCTTTCGGTGTCCATGTCTCTGCACCATATAGAGAGATGGAGAAGACAAGAGTGCGAATTAGATGTATTTTAGTTACGTTTCTGATATTCCTGTCTATATCTACGTGTTTATATACAAAATGTTGTTTGTTCTTGTGACCGCTAAGGGCGCTGCATAATTTGTCATACAAAATTGTGAAGTAATTTACGCGGTTGCTAGCAACAACTGTCACAGTCACAGAAGAAAAAAGCAATGGAAGTGCCATAAGCTACTATCGATTACTATCGGAACCGAAATCGCCAAAACGCACACTAACAAAATGATAAACACTATGAAAGCTTGATAATGGTTGGTCATAGTTTGTAATTTAAAAAGATGTAACATATTCTGGATTGTTAACATAATTTAAACTTTACCCAGTCGCTATATCGTTGAAAGTTTAATACCTTTATTGCAAGTTACGACGTTTTGATTATATATTGAAATTTTATTCAACATGCTGTCATCTTGCGGTCAGTATCTGTACTACGACGAACGATTAACGTCTGAACGAATAGATAATCAGAAAATTGAAAATTTATTAAAACAAGACAGCGATGATTTTAAATACTACTACGGATAATATTTTTGGTGCAGCTATTATTTTTGCACTCCAAAACAGCACGATAAGGTATTTTTCTGCGATTTTTGAGAATTTGCGCGAAAGAAGGGCACAACTATACCATACACAGCGCAAATGGCGGACTGTGCATCTACCATGAGATTTACCGTTACAGTTATCGCTAGCGACTACGTAAAATGTTTGTATACAAAATATTGTTTCAAATTCTTTTTTATTATATAATAGACACACGCTTGGTCACAATCTGACCTGATGTTAAGCGACGATGGAACGCGTTTGCCCAAAAAATGCCTACTCACTCTAGCCTTGAATAGCCCCAAATTGTACTTTTCGGGAAATACAGATGCAGAGCATTCCATTCCTTTGCCGTACGCATCAGAAAGCAAAGCGTTTAGTGCGAATAGGTGGAATATCAACGACGTAAGTATGGAGTGCTCCGGAACGCTTTTTTTTTATTAAACCAAGTGACGGGACATACAAATCCTGGTATTAAACGACGCGCCTGTCCATAGCCGATGCAGTGTCACTCAGAGCTTTAAATCGCAAAGATCTCAGGAGCACTGCCATTGCGCCCGTCACTTTGACCCATAAGTTTATAAGTCCCGTCTGATTTTAATTTCACCAGCACTCTTAACAATTGACTGCCCCCGTGGCCGAACGGTTACCATGCCGGACTGCCACGCAGAGGTCCCAGGTTCGATTCCCGGGCCGGGAGAAATGTTTGTATGGCTTACATTAATTTCTCTCGTGAGTTTGGGTGTAATTTGTGGTTGTCTATGTGTGTGTCCATGGCACCCGCGACACAGGGTTTTCTAGTGCGGGGCTATGTTGAGTGTGTGCGTTATTATTATGTTATAACCCTTCAAAACCGGAACACAGTAACGCTGGCATTACTGCTCGGCGGCAGAAATAGGTAAGGTGGCAGTACTACTATGAACAGACGAACTCTATCACAAAGAGCTCTACTGCTAATTACTAAAATTATTGTAATATATATTGTTCTTCGCTCATTCGATAATTTAAATGCATACTGTCACTACGCGTATTTTAACCGAATATTTAACCGTATGGGTACTGCATAGGACAAACATTGTAAAAGTGATTAAAAATGCGAGAAATGTATAATGTCATGTAATACATTAGAACGAACGAAACAGGTTAACAACCGTGAACTTTCGTAAAACTCGAATGACTCCGAATCAAGATTGTATAAGTATCTACCCCATGTAGCTATAAGAACATACACACAGGTGTATATGCTGGTTTAGGAATTTGTTAAAAGGGTTATTTCATACAAATTTCTTGTAAAAATACTACAAAGTGATACTACAAAATGAATACTAAATATGATACAGTACATTAATCGGATCTAACGTCGTAAAGTAGTAAAATAATATGATTAAATACAACAAGGTAGGATAAGGATTATATAAAAATATTATAGTCTATCTTCATAGTACGGAATAAAGAAACAATAATTAATCATTGTAGCGCCTGATGCCTTCTGCAGGCAATGTATTTTTTAATTATTAAATAGAATTACTAGTGAATTTATTCAGGCGCGTAAACTTTTAATGCTACTAATTTTATTAAGAATTTGATAAATAAACCTTTGAAATAAGTATAAATGTAAAAATTAAATGCTCTATTGGGCGGCTAATTACTTTAAAACCATTGCCTTTAGTTACATCTCTACACTTATAAATACTTATAAACGTACATGATTAATACGAACATACGTACCCTCTGCAATCTTTAATATCTTATAAAAACATTTAAATACAGCATAATTCGTAATCAAAAACTGACTTACCGTTTTGAAGCCTTAAACACCGGTAGTTTTCGTAAAGAAAAAACAAAGACACATTTTATAAAATACAATTATAACTACTAAAACACGCGTTTCGCACAGATCAAAACAACACAAACAATAAAACAAATATTTAATTATCCGATTTACGATAAAACTAACCTCGTTACAATGAATTTTTTCACGCCCGAGATGACATTTGAAGATTGCGCGCGCAACCCAATCGATTTTGTAAAGTGACACACACGATGCAGTTTTCACTGTTTTCAACTTTATGACCATAACATAAGGGTTGCGGCAAACATGACGTGACTATTCTGAAACAAAGGCGAATGCGAATTGATGGAATCCTATTGGAGAGTGCTAAGCCAATCATATTGAACTAGTTTTCACTGCAATCATTTTTTTAAGTCTCTATTTAATTCCTTTATTTTTTTCCATCCTCTAAGATTTATTCAGGGGCTTTGATCATTATTGAACATGACAGCCCTTTAACAGATAAATCATAATACTACCTAAGTAAATATGTATACCATTGATTTATGATGTATACAAAATCTTCGCGGCACTACATGTTGGCTCTGACAAAACGGATTGAAACCACCCAACATGAAATATACGAAAACCAACACGTGCAAATAACCATACCCTGATAGTTTCCGTCCGAACACACTCAACACTACTTGCATTTTATTCATAAAGGGCTAGAATATTAAATTTATTGCTATAGGTGTACCAGAATCCGATGGTACTTAGACAAATTGAAATTTGTAGTGGACAATATCAATATGGTAGGAAAAAATGTACTAGATACTTCATATATTTTATTTGACCAGAATTGATCTATTCTCGTAAATGTTTTAAGATCAGTATGAATTTGTGCGTAAGAAAGGTAAGTAATTTGTAATATATTTTAAAATTAAACAAAAAATTATCAATTACATTGTGGGGACTTGACAGTGGGTGTGTGGGCTATTTACGTTTGCAGTTTGAAGTAACTCGCATTTACGCCAATAATCTTTTTTTTTACCAGTCACTGGCTTCGCTAAAACTTCAAAGATCAAGTTTATTTACTCCTACTAATCGGCAAGATTTGAGATCCACTTCTAAATCGTGAATCGTGACTTAGATGCACCTAATTCATCACTGATTTTACAATAAACATTATCATAATGTTTTTTTGCTTGAAATACAAGCGGATTCTTAGTAATTATTGCAACAAAATCTTTATTTCAAAGTGAAAAAAGTTTAGCAGACAAGCCATTTGACGTAAGTAATATATTGAATTGACATGTGACAAGTTAACATTGCCAGGTGAAAGTAGTTCAATTTTGCTAATATGTAATGGCATGAGATTCTAAAAGTTTTCGTCGGTTTTACAATTTCAAATTTTGAACGAAGACTTATGGATATGACGTTTAGTAAACCTTAGACGATGGAAAAAAATATTCCATAGTATAAGAATCGAACATTGTTTAAGCTTAGCATTTAATATTGGGAGTGCATTTATTGTGATCAATATTGTAAGCTCTACAAAATCACCAAGATTTTGCACTTCTAGAAAACTCTAAAAGGTACATCGTTTTAGCAGAAACTCTAAACGTGGAAATAAGACGTTGTACTGAAGCTGTTTTTAATCGATTCAAAAAAAGGAGGGTATTTTTTGTATGTATGTTACGCGATAACTCCATTTGTGAACCGATTTTAATGATTTTTTTTATTGGAAAGAGGGTACCTCAGCAGTGGTCGCATTTAAATTTGAAGAAAATATTCGACCTCTAAGGATGGCAAATTAGGTGATGAATGACTTTTGAGGCCGGTTTTTTAATACTCAGTATCGAGATTATTTTAAAGAGTATTTAAATCAAAGTTAAATATATTAACTAAACTTCGTTGACAGAACCACAGAAGAGCTATAGAAGGAAGCCTGTTAGATGTATATAGAATAGGAATAAGAGAATTGTTTGATACACCTTTTCTTCGGGCTGTTGGTTTCATAATTGTGGTGAGAGTATCAACTCAACATCTGTCGAGTTTCATGATGGAGGAGTTTAGGCCGAAGGGTGTCGTGTATCGACGTTTCCGAGGCCGGCTACCGGACACCCATGTTGCGTTACACGTCGCAGTCCATACGTGTAAATAAAGAAATAATATTTTGTTATATTGTTATATTATATTGTATGTATGTTAGTCCTTAAGTTATATATTATATGGGTCATGTTGCCTGTAATAAATAAATAAATTTAAAAAATAATAAATTCCGTCAACCAGGCCAATCTACTCCTCACGTAGATTGGCCTGATTGACTACACATATATATGTATTTTATGTCTGTGTATGTGTGTGTATGAATGTGTATGTGTATGTATGTTTATATTTATATTATGTGGCCATACTCCTTTATACGTTTTACTCTCACGTTGTAGTTAGCAAAATATGTAGTTTCTTTCTATTTTAGATTAGTTATCGTAGTAACAAATTGAGTCGTGTTGAATCTAATGATATTTGATTAAAAAATTCATGGTAAGTACATAACAATTGTATTAATAAATTATGAATAGGATACTTAAATTTAGGTAAGCATCTCACATTTTTATTATTTAGTCATTACATAACACACTGTTTGTTAATTATGTGTATTTGATTGCGTACATAAAAATGTCAGTGTGTCGTGTGTGGTGTTCGTTTGGTGCGCCTGTGACGCACTCCATGGGCTCCACATAATGGCTGTTCTCAGCCACGGCATATGCTTTGTGGTGCCCATTAAGTATCTTAATTTTAGTTTTAGTTTATTTTTGTTTATTTTGTAAGTACAATTTAAAATTAATGATACTGAATAAAATTCTTTCTTTCAAGTCTACTCCTAAAAACTTCCCCTCCCATTGCTAAAAAAAAAAAATTATATTTTTACTTCGTTCCATATAAAATGTCTCATAAAATGATTCCGTTCCGAAATATCGGAAAATAAAAAGAAGTCATAACGTGGTAAGAAACCTGATACTAGTGATAATCATTTCGTGAATAACCACGAAAGTCTTAAAATCTATATAAAATATCTCATGTCGTGTACTCGACCGAGACGTGTTGAACAGCCGATATTTTCTTTCCAACTTAAAAGTGTACCTACCTCTTGGTAAAAGTTATACATATAGATAATACGTTTATAGTACTAACACGTACCTTCAAGTAACTTTTACTGCAGTTTATACCTTACTTCGTTCAAATAGCGTCTAAATGTGCAGTGTAAAAGTGACAGTCTCTATACATGAGTTGAGACTAAAATCGTGGGAATCACATTTTTTACTTATATAGTTCCTATTGGTATTAATTTAGGGTTTGGAATTAAAATTACGATCCCTCCTCCCCTTGTGCCCCTTTATACGTTTTTTTTTCAGTTGTATCACGCAGGATACACTAGTCTAGGAGTTTTTTCACACATGTCGCTAAAGTATAATAAATATAAGCACTGTGTATAGCCAGGGATACATAAGCCTGGGACAAAAATATTGGGTGTATATCAGAGTATACACGTGGCGCTGAACGTGTTAAACACTATCAATATACACTTCCGGACACATCATTCTAGCCACCACGCATTTTCAGTATTAAGTGCCCTAAGCTTAAACAATGTTTGATCAAAAAGTATTATGCAATTTTGACAATAGTATAGTAAACGTCTTTTCCATAAGTCTTTATTGGGAATTTGGATTTGCAAAACTTTTTCTTCAATGATAACACTATTTTTGTATTCTAGCAGTCTACGACAAAAATGCGAGGTGACTCGAATTATGTGTCCGGGAGCATATTTTTGTTGTTTCCTTTATGGCGGCCACTAGGCTTCTGCCAGTCTCAGTTTTTTGTATAAGAATAATATAAAAATTATGGCGATCATTGCCAGTGTCAGTTTTATACGAACAGTGTACTTCCTTTATTTTTTTTCCATCCTCTAAGGTAGCCGCATAATAAAAGATAATACATTGAAGCCAATTACGCAAAGATATTTGCATCAGATTCATTTTGATAAATTAAATATAAACTTTGTTTTATATTTTGAGCGAGATTGTATTTTATTATTTAAGTCAAGCACGTTTACATACAAGGTAATAATGCTGATTATATGCTGATTAAAATATGACTACCAATACAAACAATTCTTATTAGTCATATCAGTATGACATACCTAGCATGACCAATAATAAACGGCCAATTTCGTAAAACACAATGTTTTAAAACGTGACAAGAAAATAAATTATTGTTTATCATATTACAAATCTCTGTTCCTCTCTCCAACATTATGACCGGCTGCCTGTGGGCAGTGGTAAACATCTAGTGCAGATACACGCGCAGATTGTAAGAGTGTTTGAAGACTGCAATTAGATTACACTGTATTTCTAACATTTTCGGAGCCAAATCGCGCATATTTCTTTTTTCAAACAAACCTCTGCCATGTTCGCAGTTGACTAAATAGTTGTTAAAATATACTACAATGAGAAAAGCGCTAGATATAATTTTTAACACCCTTGCTCGTAAAGCTGATGTAATTCCACCGGTTTTAGATATGTAAAGCGGGTCATAAAAAACGCGTGTGTCACCAAAGCAAATAGTTAAGTTATAGTCCATACAAATTCCATAACAGTATTATTTGCCATTTCAAATTTCGAACAAATCGCCGCGCGGCCGGCGCCAGTCAGTAGGCAGCGACGTATCATTTTAATAATTGTAATTTCACTAACTGTTTCAATAATTAAAAATGAACAAAATATAAAATGTTTTTTTTCTGTTTCCTCGCAAATGTGTTAAAAAACGTCGTACGATATACGTGCGTATTGGTTATAACATGCTCGGCTCAATTAAAAAACTCCGCCTCGCATGTTATAACCTTAGAATAACCATCTTTACGCACTAATATCGTAATGTACTATAATTACACGTCGAACCATTTACTGTCAAATAATTAACACTCAACCAAATAAAAAGACGCATGTTGCAAATGAATCTTCATACTTGACACTATCAACATTAGAGCTCCTTGTACGAGTTCGTCAAGGGAAGTACTGCCACCTTACCTATTTCTGCCGCCAAGCCGCAATGTGAGCATTACTGCGTTCAGGATTTGAAGGGTAAGGGTGCTGATGAAATTATAGGCACGTGGGATTTGTCAACTTATGTCTCAGGGTGACGGGCACAGTGGCAGTGCCCTTCAGATCTTTGTGATTTAAAGCTCTGAGTGACGCTGCAACATTTATTCGCAAATGGTTATATTCATTTTATCCAAAATGTGATTATAATAGCCAGAAATCAAAGGAAAAGTACAAAGTGTTACTTTTGCACCCGGTTTCCCCTACCTACGCTTTTTATTATCACCCGATCTCAGTTCCTTTTCCATGTAGAGCTAGCAAGAGCTTGGATAGTGTGCTGAGCAATCATGACCTGGATGTTGATATAATTAATTGTAATGTTGATGCGCTAAGTGAACTAATGAACATTTTATTTAATTTTATTGAATTATTTGTGACTGTTGGCGCAGGTATTGGGTTGTTATATTTATGTGAGTACATATTGTTAACAAATACTGTTTATTGTTCGTTTGTTTTATGCTTGTGTTTGATTTGTCTGAAGCTAAAGGTGGAGACCTGTAATTGGCTTTATGTTTCTTTCTCTCTTTTTATTAAATGGTGGAAGCTGATGGTTTTATATGCATAAATAAATAAAAGAATATATATTCATAACGCTAATAAATGCTATATTTTCATTATAATGCATGTGCACTCGGCGTTTACGTGATCATAGTAATAATATTGTTTGTATCTGAATCATTTCACATATTATTGTATGCATGTGATGATGATGTATGTATACGGGGCCTTAGGAAGTTAATAGTCAGTCAGCTGCAGAAGTGAATCAATCCCGCACATTTCCATTTTTCATAAGATACAATTGCATTATAACTGCGGGATGTTTAATAAGTCTAAATACACCCTTACATTATTCCGTTCCGATAATGCAAGCCCGTCCGACTACTTTTAATTCCGGTTCGAAATCCATCCGTCACGACTAGAACTGACAACCCTTAACTAGTAATAAAGATCTCCCATGCCTTTTATAATTCACCAACATCGTTACCAGCAAGAAAGTTTAACATAGACTGGTCGGACAATAAGTACGGGAAACGCAAAATGTCGGCGACCTCGGTTGTTATTCGCTCGCTCTTTCATTTTTAGGAAGTTAGAAAGAAATAGCATCATACGATACGATCCGAGAAATTCATTTCTCATTCAGTCAGTGACGCGTCACACAGTGAAGCGTAAACAGTGTTTTTAAAGTGTTTTTGTAACAAATTTAATCCTATAAACATGACCAAAGGTTTTAGATACGATGTTATTCAGCTAATACATGCAATAAGGGATAGACCGTGTCTTTGGGATAAGACAATTGAGAGTTATAAGGACAGGATTGAAAGACGAAATGCTTGGGAAGATATTTTTAACATGTTGGATGAATCTTATAATAATATGAGTTTCGAAGACAAACGGATGACAGGTAAAACAATTTCTTTAATAATTATGTAATAATTTCACCTTATATTTTTTATTCGAATAATATAATTATTTTTCGAATAGTACATTATTCTTTACGTCATGTCTGTTGCCATCACTTACCTACATACTAATAAGCTTTTCACGACTTAGGTGGCCCAACGGTTTGCACTATGGGCTTTAACTGTGGAGGTTCTGGGTTCAAATCCCGGTAGGATAAATTTGGGAAAATAATTTTTCTAAATTGGTTCTGGTCTGCGTGTTCTGCGAAGTGGGCCAGAGTGAATTCCGTTGCTCTGGTATGTAGGTATGGTTTACTAAGTATAGTGAATTCTCTAATTTGAAACCAGGTCTTTAGTGTGGTTGTTTAGCACATTATTATTGTTAGAAGTATTTAAAAGACAAATTTACAAATATTCGTCTACCTTTACTTGGAAGTTGGTATTTATTATAATTTTGTTATAAACTACAATTAAGATACTTACGAAAAAACTGGAAGAACTCTATGATATATCTAGTTCCTCCCTATGTATTGTAGATTTGGTCCTTTTAGGAATCAGCATTTTAAATACGGTCTATTTTTAACTCCATTAAATTCGTGTCAGTTGTTTCGGAAAAGGCAGTCTTTTATTGTTTTAAAATAAAGATGATTGAGTAGCATGGTTATCACTGACTATAGTTTCCTAGTGCAAGGTTTACTACGCCTTTACTACGGAATAGTGGTCTCCACCATGGCTTTACAGAGACAATATCGCTGGCGACTGCATAATAGTTATTTGTTACGCAAGGCTGCAAAGTTGTTGTCTGACTCGAGTGCTTGCACTGACCATGCAGTGCGGCGCACAGCACCGACAGGACCGAACTTCCTGCTGCGTCCGGCAGTACCGACGATGCAGCTGTAGGTACCTGTCGCGATTGATTACTCCACCAAGTCTGAGAAGATAGTGGAGTACATCAGACATAAAGCCAAATACACCCTGAGAGTCGAGCGGTTGGAGTCCCACCACAACGTAAATTTCAATTCGTTTGTGGTGAGAGTACCGACCGAACACCTGTCGACCTACATGAAGGAAGAATTTTGGCCGAAGGGTGTCATATATCGGCGATTCCGCGGCCGGTTACCTGACACCAGATTGCGCCACACGAAGCCGTCAAGTGAAATTAGTTAGAAATAATGTTTTATTATATTGTATGCTTAGAATAATAAAGCATAGAAACCTAGTCCGCACACGCTAAGTGAGGCAAATTGAAGCGCGCCAAAAGGGCCTACACGAGCGGGCGGGCCTTCAGTGCTCAAGGTCAACTTGCACCGCGAACAGATCAAGAATTTTAGCTAAAAATGACGAAATGTGAAAAATGATGTGATGTAAATGAGTGTAAAAATAGGTCATACAAACATAAAGTAGATACTAACATCACATTCCACAAGGAAGTAACGCGTTTCAACTTGTATTTTTATATAAATATTCACTAAAACCGAAAATTAACCTACTACTAAAACTAGCCTACATGAATTTGATTTTTGCCTCACTTGTGACAGTTCGTTTGATATGAAACTATCATTCTATGCGTTATTATTCTAAGATTGTATGTATGTTAGTGAGGTGAAAATAAAATTATAATGATAGGTATAATTTTAATATTAGGAACTATGATTAATTACGGGATCCACCCGTTAAGGGCGCCTTCAAATAGAAGCGCTGCGCCGCATCATTACTAATTTTCATACAATATTTAACCCATTTGCAGAGCCACTATCCAGGCCCTGTACTCTCGTTATCCGTCAGAAACAATTACTGTCAAATAAGTAGTACTCGACCAAATTAAAAGGCGTATGATGCGAATGAAGATTCGACATTGTTTTCTAATTTGGTTGAATATTATTTATTTGACAGGAATTGTTTCGGACCGAGGACGGAGAACGAGTGTACATGGGCCCTGACATGGGCGCGCCACTTTTTAACCGACTTCTTTTTTTCTTTTTTTTATAAAATATAAGTGCACATTTGACCAGTTTCTCAATTCGACTGTATTTTGTTTGTATTTATTTTTTATGACATCACTTGACGGGACGAACAAGACGTCGACGAGCTTACCATCAGGCGCACGACTTGATAATATTAAAAAAAAACATTCAAGGGGTCAAGCAAGTTTTTGCAAATTACTGATAATCAGGTGTTTCTATTTAATTTTATTTGACACCGATGGATTATTCTGACCAATTTTATAATTTGAAAATGAAAATGACCAAAAAAAGTCATTATTAAGCTTTGTGGTGCATAGACTATGGGGCCTTTTTTATAATATGAAGTGATGGGAGGAACAAGACGTACGCCGTGGCACTTCAACTTTTATGGACTGGCATGTATTGAGCCTGTCGCTTACGACCAGGCGCACGACTTGTTCCTTACTTAGTATCATGAAAAAAGTTTCGTTCTAAGTACCTAACAGAAACACCACTATGGGAGTTTAGTGACGTCGCGTCGTCGGGTTCGGCGGTAGAAATCTCTATCTAACTCCACTCTCGATTAGCAACTTGTCACTCCATAGAAAAATTAAAAAAATACATATGATCCTTAAAGTTAATATTGGACCTCTGATGCATAACTAATGTATTTACCTCTTCTTTCTTTTTCAGGTGAATACGTACTGAACAAGTGGACGAACATTCGAGATACATTCGTGAAGACACTAAAGAGCAAAATGGGTAAACCAAAGAAGAAATACTTGCTTTACGAACATTTAAAATTCCTTATGAAAATTATTCCGGACGAAGAACAAAGTTTAGAAGTAAGTATTGAATGCCCAGAAAATGACAACAATGAACCAGTTGAAGAAACATTATCCTTCGTGAAACAAGAAATCAGTGAAGCGGAAACCAGTTACACAAATCGCAAGAAGAGGAAAACTGACTACAATGATGGCGATGTTCCTAAAAAGAAAAAGAGTCGAAATGGTGAGAAACATAGAAAGAAGTATGAAAACGATGAAGAGTCTTGTGATACGGGAGAAATTGATTTTGTTGAAGTAGATGCGGAGCCTAGATTAATGAATGAAGATGAAGCTTTCTTTGCATCGCTTCTGCCTACAGTTGTAAAGTATAGCGAGGATGAAAGACTGGAGTTTCGAATTGAAGTTTTAGCTGTTATGAAGAAAATTAAAGATAACAGGAAATGGAGTACGGAGTAGGAAACGATGTAATTATTTAACCGAATCAAATTAGGTCTGTGGGCTATGATATAATAATCGCGTGTAGAAACCCAGAGGTAATGTTCCTCCTAAAGTATAAGCCTTGTATTTTGAGCACCTTCAGTTTAGACACTTTCTTTGGGCGCATTTATTCGACACGACTTTCATCGCGCTCACCCCGCGCGTCCCGGGCACGCGGGCGAGCCTGTCTTGAAATTGGACCACGAAGCGCCCGGGCGGTTGTCTTATTCAGAGGAATTTAAATGTTATTGTCACGAAAACTTTAAAATCTATATCACTAATTGCTTTGATGCTCTAAGACTAATTGTGACTGCAAAAACCGACCTCAAAAGTTCGTGGAATTTCATCTATTTATCAAGTTTTATTGAAATCGGTTACCGGAAAGTGCGCGAAACCGGATTAGTCCCCCAGTTTGCCACCCTTAAGAGTCGGAATATTTTCTTCAAATTTACACGGGACCAATATTGAGGTACCCTCTGTCCAACAAAAAAGAATCAACAAAATCGCTTCACAAATGCCGGAGTTATCCCGTACCATACATAGTTTAGTTTTTAGTAGCAGTAGAGCTCCTTGTGAAAGAGTTCGTCCAGGGAACTACTGCCTTACCTTAACCTTACCAAGCAGTAATGTGAACATTACTGTGTTACCGTTTTGAAGGGTAATGGTGCTGGTGAAATTACAGCCACATGAGACTTATCTATGTTACTCTACGTTACCACCGGGTTCGTACGCGGCCTAAGGGTTATCAATGTCTCAGGGTGACGGGCGCAGTGGCAGTGCCCTTTAGATCTTTGCGATTTAAAGCCCTGCAATTTTTATTGTTAGGCGTGTAGCTTACCATCAGGCGAACGTCTTGTTCACTCACATCACTTCATATTATAAAAAGAGGCCCCATGGTTACAATGCACCACAAAGCTTAATAATGATTTTTTAACACCAGTGGATTATTTGGTCAATTTCATTTTCAAATTATAAAATTGGTCAGAATAATCCATCGGTGTTAAATAAAATTAAATAGAAAAACCTGATTATCAGTAATTTGCAAAAACTTGCTTGACCCCTTGAATGTTTTTTTTAAGATTATCAAGTCGTGCGCCTGATGGTAAGCTCGTCGAATTCTTGTTCGTCCCGTCAAGTGATGTCATAAAAAATACATACAAACAAAAATACAGTCGAATTGACAAACTGGTCAAATGTGCACTTATATTTTATAAAAAAAAAAGAAGTCGGTTAAAAAGTGGAGCGCCCATGTCAGGGGGTCTACACTCGTTCTCCGTCCTCGGTCCGAAACAATTCCTGTCAAATAAATAATATTCAACCAAATTAGAAAACAATGTCGAAGCTTCATTCGCATCATACGCCTTTTAATTTGGTCGAGTACTACTTATTTGACAGTAATTGTTACGGACGGATAACGAGAGTACAGGGCCTGGATAGTGGCGCTGCAACTGGGCTAAATATTGTATGAAAATTAGTAGTCATACGGCGCAGCGCTTCTATTTGAAGGCGCCCTTAAACGGGTGGATCCCATAATTAATCACAGTTCCTAATATTAAAATTATACCTATCATAATTTTGTTTCACGTCACTAACTCGGAAAGGCATTCTTTCTCATTAGATATTTTACATAAATAATGTGCGCGCAAAACAGTTTTCCGTTTCCACGCTAGCGCGGAAAAGGTTTTTGAAATTGGAACTTGACTATGGACTGTGGTGCACACCTAACTTCTCTTTCTATAAAAAAAACATAATGACACGTTCAACTACATTAAACTTATAGGATGGAATAAACTAAATCCGTTGGTATATTTTATGCTTATTATTGTTGACATTAAATTGACAACGATAACTAATTTTGTTTATTGAAACTGATTTGTTATAGTTCCAACTGTTTTTCTTTCATATACCATTTTCCTCGCTATAGTGAGGTGTGAAAAGTTGTGCTTCTCTCGGCAGCAAAGTTCTTTTGCGTGTCGTGTCTTGAAACCCTGGCTACGCTCAGGATTCTATTTTTGAACCACTGGCTTCGCTCGTGGTTCAATTTTAAAACACCTTCGCTTGCTCAGGTTTTAGTACAAGCACTCGCGTCAATCAACAATTTTACAGCCTTGCTTAACATATAATTATTGTACAGCCAACTAAAAAAGTATTCTTACGGTTTGCATTCGCCATTCTTATCTATAATATGGTAAAAACCAAATATTTTTAGTGATGTGTATGCATTGAGTATGCCATATATAACCAGAAACAGAAGTAAGGTCTATCCATCCCTAGCAACTCATCACAAGTGGGCCATAAATCACTTTTATATATCAACTCTCGTTTGCGCTGAAATCACAAATTAGAAAGCTGAAATAGTACAGCAGCGCCAACAACTGACCTGTATACGTCTCTGTATATTCCAAAAATATTCTGTATTTATTGTAATAAATATAATATCTGTAACAAAGGGGGCTGTTCCATTCGGTGGTGTGGGAAAAATAGCAAAACATCTAATTTCAAAGCAAACGGAATCGCATTTCATCGGCAATTAAATATGTAAATTTTCAATTGTCGTCCATTATTGCAAGGCTCAAGTTAAACTGCTGAATTTGAAGAAAAACAATTGACGACACCCGTTAATTTCAAATTTGGGCTGGTCAATCGGAGCGTAGTTGTCACCGTAATGATTTAGCCACTCAATGTTTAGCAGAAAAGTTTTCAAACAAATTAAATGACATTTCGTCTCCATTTCTGGTTATATACTCGATGCTTTCTGGTTGTGTACTCTATTGATGCAAAGTTGTCACGAATACATATATTTTTATTATTTGAGATTTTTTGTGAAAGAACTCCACTAATTTTGTTAGGATTATTAAATTTTTTGTCAGTACAAAGATCTATAACAAAAACACATATTTATACTTTCGACAAATTGGTAACTTGACCTGTGGCTCAGTTGGTAAGAGCAATGCTACGGTGCAGCATGGTCGTGGGTTCAAGTCCCACCGGGTCGAAGTAATGCTTCCATGTTTTCGATCTTTGTATTAATAGTAAGTAATTGTTTCCATACACGATTACGACGTAAGGATGTTATTGTTTTTTATATATAAAGCAGACACACGCTAAAAAGCTACAAATAAAAGTTTGAAATATTTAATAGATAAGTTTTAATGATCATTTTTTTCTGTAGCACTTTAAAAATAATGGTCACAGAATCACAAAACACATTTTCAGGTGAATCAGAAAATAACCTGGCGTATTCCATCCTAACATTAATTTACAGCTAATAAATTTAAATTTCTAAGTGAAAAATATAACAAAAACGCAGCAGCAATACTGTATTTTGACAATAATATCGGAGGTATACTTACCTATAGTTCTGAACAATAACAACACGATGATTTAAATAGGTAATATATAAAATTTTCGAACCTTAACTTTTAGAAATGGCAAAATAAAATCACCAAAAGTAAAACAGATTTCGAAAAACCCACAGATTAAAATACGTTTCTCATTACAATGGATTTTATTAATGATTAGTGCCTGTAGCCGAAATATTGATTTTTTTAGTTAGTAGCGATCGATAAATCGATGTATATTCGATTAATTTATATTTCTCGGACTATAGACGCCAGGCATGACTTCAACTAATATATTCTTACAGCTACAAAAAACGTCCGGAACTATTTGGGTTATGCTCCGACCCGAATTAATACGAGACGCCAGTTACAATTTTTTCACTATAGTAATGACCGAACGGTCAAATCACTAAATTTGCTATATTTAAACACCTTTATCTATTTACAGTAGGAATGAACGTGGCTAAATACGAAAATGCAACGTTTTTGTTTCTTGACAAAAAAATGTATGTTTGTCCCAACATTTACCCGGATTATCATTTATATACATCGGCTTGAAACACTGAAATTACAACGTTCTAGGCTTGCAGCCGGGAACAAAGCGATTGCTAGTATCATACTCGGGTAAAACAATAGATACTATATCATACTCGGGTATCAATAGTGACTAGACGGTCCCCTAAACAAAGTTGGGGACAAAATATATTTACACTTACACTATGGATAAATTCACACTAGCTTACCACGATGCTACTAAATGTTAGATTTATCTAATATATAGCGACAGTGAACGCCCTTTGGAAACGTAAGAAGCACGAAAATTCTTTCCTCAAAAAGTCTCAAAAATAACCATTAAAGCTCGACGTCCTCTTCCTTTAATTTGTGCAGATTGGAAGTTCAACTAAAGCTACGCAATAATAGTATTGGAAAAACAAGAAACATTAATGGCAACGTACATAGGAAATCAATCCAGTCAGTCTAGCAAATAAAGAGTTGTTTTTATTATAAATGGATACAATCTATAGCTATTAAGACGATTAAATTCTCATTTTGAGTATGGCCTGTAATCACTATGGGAAACACTTACGTTTATTTTGGAGGTAACCTAAGTTTTATACAATTACATATTAAAGTGTATGGATATATTACAAGAAAAATTTAACAATCAAAATATAATGTCGAAATAATATGAAACTTTGAACTAATCAAGGGTTATTAACGTAGAAATAACACCTAAAGGAACAAAAGCTTAAGATTAATAATTAACAAAATAAAAATCATTTATGAAAAACCCGCAGTTGAACTTAGCTACCGTATTACATACAAAAATTATATACAAAACAATTTCAACAATTTTTCATTATAGTATACCTAAGTGAAAGTTTCGTCGATAAGGAGATCGCGATCAGTCAAGGTAAACGTGAATTACATTTCACATTGTAATGACACAGCCCAAGAAAAGTACATCTTTAAATTCCGATATTCGTCCAAAAATATGAACTAAAGCTGTCATGAGTTTAGTTCCCTTTACAGAAAAGAGACACATGGTTACTTAAAAGAAAGACACAAGTATACTTCCATCTCTATCTTTCACATAAGTCCGATCTTTTGATAGTTACGAGATTGTGTAATGTCGGAGAATAAATATCATCAACCTTAGTTTTATACGTATTTAGTGATGAGAAGTAAAGTCCATAGTAGGTTTCCTTTGCCGTGGCTTTTTTGGTCTTTGTGGGGTAGGAGAGCCGTTGCAACAGAGACACCCTCGCTTCACAACTCCGCGTCCTGACGCACGCCGTCGCACTTCCAGGTCCGGAGATCGTTCACCAGCTCTCGTCTTCCCCGATAGACTCCTTTCCATGTCTCCTTCCATAGTATGATACATGCGTTTAGGCGGGTAGGTACGCAGCGGCGGATGTGTGTCATCGGCAGAGGAGCCGTCCGCGCTTCCACTACGTTCTAGTCTCGCTTCTTTTATCACCGAATCCAATCTCATATGTGTACCAACCCCACTTGAATCAGTCGAATTGGTATCGTATAACGGGCTCTTGCAACATTTGTCGCTATCACTGCTAAAGTCTAAAGGTCGGCGACCTTCAGACCTTTCAGAAGCTGAATTTGATTCCCAGAACAATTCTGCATGTCTTTCCGGAGACGAGTTGTCGTCGTCCACATCTCCTCTCATAGATTCCAAAGTAGCATCCCTGGAGTCTTCGGCTGTCATTTTCGCGTCATCTCCAGCTATTAGGGCATCAGGTTCATCCATTAAGAAGCTCGTATCTCTTTCTCTTTTATCGTCATAGCAAACCCTTCTGATCACTTGCGTGGTATTTACTGAATGCACTATCGCCGATGCGGTATTAGAAAGGTGCAACTCTCGAGTATCAGTTAAGATGTTATCGAATCTGGTAAGACCATCATCTTTGACCAATACCGAAGATAAATTCATGTTATTGTTATGTGGTCCTGGTATGTGTTCGACGTGATCAATGATATTATCAAGGTCGGCGTATTTGACAGAGTGTGAAGTTGCTGCAGTAGCTTGTGAGATCACGGTGGTTTGTGGAGCTGTCATTAGGACGGTGGCAGGTGCCCGATTGGCGTGGAATATCGTAGATATCTGCCTACCCTTTATTCCTGTTATTGTGAATGGTTGTACCTGGAAAAACCAGACAATTAATTTTAGACAAATTATTTAGTATTTATTTAAATACTAGATAGTGTATTGGATTCTCAGCGCTTGCATGGACCTTTGACATTATTACTTGCTCGAACTGTGATAAAATCGCAATGAATACTTCCCATTAGAGAATCTCCATGGATATTTTTCAATAAAATATTCTAATAATTCCACAAAATACCTTGTTATAGCCGTCATACCTATTATAATTATTAACTAACTGCTGGCCTTATAGGTAGACTTTTTTAGTAGCAGTAGAGCTCCTTGAGAAAGAGTTCGTCCAGGGAAGTACCTTACCTATTTCTGCCGTCAAGCAGTAATGCTAGCATTACTGCGTTCCGGTTTTGAAAGGTGCTGGTGAAATTACAGGCACATGGGACTTGTCAACTTATGTTTCAAGGTGATGGGCGTAGTGGCAGTGCCCCTCAGATCTTTGCGATTTAAAGTTCTGAGTGGCACTGCAACTGTTATGGACAGGCGTGTAGCTTACCATCAGGAGCACGACTTGTTCATTCCGTCACTTGATGTTATAAAAAAAAAATTAAAGTAAACTTAAATTGCGACACGAGTGCTAACAATTACGTCATCAACCATTTCGTCTGTAGTCAAAACGTCTGCAAATTGTATTGTGGCCGTCGTGAATTATTACACAACAATAATACAATAATCACACAAACTCATAGCCCCGCATTAGGCAAACCTAGTATCACGGGTGCCGTGGACACACACGTAGACAAATACAAGTTACACCCAAACTCAGGAGATAAACAAATGTCAGCCATACAAGTATTTCTCCCGGCCCGGGAATAGAATCCCCGGGTTCCTCCTCTCTTCTACCTCTGCGTAGCAGCCCAGAATGGTAACCGTCCGGCCACCGAGGCATGGAAAATTACGACGCCGCTAATGTGATCACCCCATTGGCGCAATACCTTATTCGCGCGTAAAACATACAAAGCTTCAGCACGCACTGCGTCATCCCGAGAAGATAAAGATCTACCAATATTCTTACCTCACCATCTTCCGTAGGCTCACTATGGAAAGTAGTATTGGGATGGCTTCTTGCAAACTCCTCCTGGTCCAGCGCAATAGTGGCCATGCCATCCTCGTTCACAGTCACTATGCCAACGTCTTCAAGTCCAAGGTTCAAGTCTTGTTGGTCGTGAACGTTGTTTTGACGGAGCAGATGGTCTGTTGCCATTTGATCGTCTATATCGGGTTGGATCACAGTTTGGTTCTGGATTATTGGTTGTGCTGAAAATAAAATTTTCATAATGTTAATGCTAAATGAGTCTACATGACAGAACGCTATCATATAAAAGATATTCTTTTTTTAAATACCATTTTTGATATGATGTGGTAACCGAGTGCAGTGCCTCTCAGAGCTTTCACCTTGTTACCCTGAGACATAAATTGACAAGTCCCATATGCCTGCATTTCTCCAGCAACCTTATCCTTCAAAACCGGAATGCAGAAATTGTTCATATTACTGCTTGGCGGCAGAAACAGTTAAAGTGGTAGTACTTCCCTAACTCTTTTACATGAAGCTCTACTGTTACAAAAATTATTAACTCTAGGAAGACAATATATAAAAATTAACATTATGTGCTTTTGTGCCGGATATATTCCACTGTTATTCATCCGATTGCGACAAAACTTTCGTGCGATAGGCAATGCTGCTGAACATTCATTTAAAGGTGGAGTCCTAGGGGTTTTCTTTTGTTTTGAATAATTTCTTAGATAGTAGTCTTTGTTTTCTTTTTTTTTCATACAGTATTTTTGTTTATATTTTCTTTTTACCTGTAATGGTACAACTTACTGTATAACAATTTATACGTTAAAACGGTGTACGGTTTCTCTCTCTAAAAAATTCACAAATCACTTATAAACCACCGCTCCGGATCGTGGTTGGTTCAGCAAGCGTTCATTGTTATCCAGGCAGGCAATGCTACCAGTATAATGGGAACTTCTCTTGTAAATCCCAGTGTTTGTTTTAGTACCTATTGAAGAAGCCTACTACAGATCTTTAGGTTGTAAATTGATCTTTGTAATATCTGTTTTTATTGAAATATATAAAGTTCGAGACCCTAAACATTTCGAGTTGTTAGGTTTTCGCGATTGTTACACATAGGAAATGAAACTATTTTTCCTACAAATTGACGGTATAGCGATGGGCTCCCCGGTATCTCCCGTTGTTGCTGATATTTTCATGGAAGACTTCGAGGAGCGAGTTTTATGGCCCCAGCTAGGCCGAAGATTTTCAAACGGTACGTTGATGATACTTTCACAATATTACCTAAAGATAGCATACCTTCTTTCTTGGACCATCTTAATTCTTTTAGTACTAATATCCAATTTACTATGGAACAAGAGAATTGTGGTACTTTAGCTTTCTTAGATGTTTTAGTTAAAAGAAATCCTAATAACACCTTAGGCCATACTGTATTTCGAAGAAAACCCATACAGATAGGTATCTCAATGGTAATTCCCATCACCATCCTAGCCAGTTAGCTACCGTGGGCAAAATACTTTGTTTCAGAGAGCACATGGTGCCTGCGACAGTAATCATCTGGCAGGGGAACTTCAGCATATAAAGCAAGTCCTACATGCGAATAAGTTGAAGATTCCACGCCAATGCCGCAGGCCCCGTGTGAAACCACCAACAGTCGAGCGAAGACCTGTCATCTTACCTTACGTGAGAGGTGTTACAGACAAGATCGGAAGAGTCCTCAGGCGGGCATCTATCAATACCTATTTCAAGCCCCTAAGGAAGATTTCTCAGTTCCTGAGACCCATAAAATGTAACATCCCCTTACAGGATGCAGGAGTTTACAAGCTTGACTGTAAGTGCGGTCTCTCTTATATTGGACAAACAAAGCGAAGTATTTGTACCCGCGTCAAAGAACATATAGCTGATGTCAAACACCGTCGCGTAAACAACTCTGCAGTCTGCGAGCGTGTCATGGATAAACCTACACATTCAATGAAGTTTGACAAACCCCAGGTCCTTGCAAAAGAAGTCCGTTATCTACCCAGGATGCAGCGAAAAGCCATTGAAATTAAAAAACATCCTAATTTCAACAGGGAAGATGGTTTCTCCGTACCACCAGTTTGGGATCCAGTATTTCCTCTAATGAAAAATCCCAAACAGACAACAACAGTACTAATTAATATGTTTTAGTTTATTCTAATTTCTATTATGAATTAATAATAAATTGAACAAAATAATAATAAATTGAAAAATAATTTGTAAAACTAGTAGCGTAAATTGGAATGTTTCTTTGTAAAATTAAAAATAAGGTATTTAATTAATAACTATTGTAACTATAGTGAAAAAAATAGGGTGGTTTGCATCAATATTAGACATAACTGGTTGAAGACTGTACTACCTCAGTGAATCGTGACCATGGGACCTGTGAAGGGCCCGAAACGTCGGTTTGTTTGAAAAAACAAATATACGCGATTTAAATCCGGAAAAATAGTTTCATACCCTAAACATTTTTCAACTTTTTGAGTTTTCAACTTGTGGCAGTCAGTGTGACGGGCCCTGTGGCAGTGCTCTCAGATCTTTGTATTTAAAGCTCTGAACGGAACTGCAAATGTCATGGACAGACGTGTCGCTTACCATTAGGCGCACGACTTCTTCGTCCCTTCATTTGGTATCATAACACAAACTAGAATTTCCAATTTTAATTTTGGAGTCGAGTCCTGTAAAATGGGAGTCGAGTATTTTTAATAGGCCTTTAAGTCAGTGTCTTTTATCACTACCCACTGGGCTACCACTGGTATTTTATTTGTATCAGTTGATACAGAAACAACGATTTACAACATATTTATAATTAAAGACATGAAAAAGTAAGTGTACAATTTCTCGTACAGCAGTGGGATGTGTAAGGGGTAGATATGAGACGATGATAATATCAAGTTAAGTGTGACTTACGAGTATGAGAATGATGCGGCGCGTCTTGCGCATGATCATGCGCTGGTGAGTTGGCGAATAACAGTTCTGCTTCAGGGAACAGTTCTGATGCCGATGGAGAGTCCACACCCAAGTCTTCGCACTCTTCCGAGAGAGATTTCTGGAAATTAAGAATCCAGATTTTTAAATGTAATGAGTTCTTGACGGCTTCTATTCTCGATATGCGAGTAAGGCCTTCCCATTCCCGCCGAGGCATATACAGTGATTTTCTCAAATTGCGACCTACAAGACCTCAAGAACAAAGGAGAATGTATAAGAGAAAAAGTGAAAAATAATTAATTGCATGACAAATTTTACTTCTTGTATTTAAATTAGAACAGTCCATTATTGTTATTCCGCTCTTTTCTAATAAAAAAATTACAAATAAAAAAAAGGACAGCAAAGAACTTTCGTTTATTTTACTGCTTACTTTATGTGGTGCAAGCATATCCATGCACCAATAAATAATTAAATCCAACATAAGTAAAATAGCATAAAATATATATACACATATGTATATATTTTTAATTCTCGCAATTAGGGACACTGATGTCAGTGAGCAGTTGTCTGTAAGATTGTTTATCTTTAGTTTGTGTATACAGGGTTATTTGTAAAATACTAACAACTCGCAAGACTATATTACTACAACAACTTTTGTTCCAAGACTTTTAATAATTCATCAGATATTACTTTCATACAAAAATAAATATATTTCAATAGATCTCTCTCTAGAGTCGTCGCAGAGGATGCTTGCACGTCTGAACTTCTACTATATACAGACCTAAAAAGTGTCAGATAGTACAACAAAAACTTAAAAGTTTAACTTTGGTTAATTCATGTTTTGTAAAAAGTTGTGGAATAAAAGTTGTTCTTTATGAAGTTTGTAATTTAGTCTTGTGAGGTTGTTAGGATTTTTAAAATAATCCTGTATAGCTCTTTCTTAGTAGAGAGCTACTGTGGACAGAAATGGATTTATACTTATTTTGTCGGCCAAGATAAATGACAAATTTTGTGGGTTCTTTTTGAGTAATGGAATGTTTATTCCATACATGTTTGAGAAAAAGTTATATCATCTAACATAATATCATAAAGATCAAAATTATACACACCTGCAATCTCAACTCATGTTCCAAAATGGCATATTTGTGTCTTAATGCGGCCGCTGAGATTTGCGTGAGCCTATGTTGCCGGTGACCTGTCCCTTCTTTCTTCTGCACCACCTAATTTGAAGAGATAGATTAATATTGGCATGAGTTTGGTTGTTTCGTACAGGGTACTCCCTAACATTACTACAAATTGTAGGAATATTTGGAATGCTCTTTTCAATTTTATTTACTAGCATTAAAATTACAATTTTATGAAAAAAGAATATTTGTTATTCCTAGTCATCTTACTAGTAGCAGAGTGGTAAAAGTGAGCCCAATATAATGTGGACTTGTTGAATGTAGCATCCGATTCTGTCACGTGTTTGGCATATAACCATAGTATAATAAGTCAAGTATGGTGACTCCATAAACCGTAGCAGCGCGACTTGTATGTGTGCACACCCGCTGCGCGACGTGTACGGACGCACACACTCGCCTTTCATAGCACGGGTAGTCGCACGCGCCAAGGTCACTGGGGCCCGTTCATACAAGGTAATGCTCAAAACTCAATGGTCAAAATGTGGGCATATAATAATAATATATAATACTAATAATAATATATAAGGCTAGTTCAAATAAAGTATCACATAAAAATACTGAATCGCGTTTGATATTAATATCTTGTTGAGTCTCCTAACACTTTTATTATTTTATAAGTTTATCGGTGACATGATATACGGCTAATAATTTGTAGTGTGCCTTCCAAAAACTTAATATAATAATATAATATTTTTAATAGAATATTTTTTTCGCGAAAATGCGCAAAATTCTATTGCCAATTGCACAGTTTACTAATATACAAAGCTTTGCCGACGGACCCCAGTAAGCGAAGGTGTGTTTGTGGTAGTTTTTGAACAAGACTGCCTCTAGTTCAGTATTTTATAGTCATAGATACTAATCCACAATGCTGGTATAAAAATTATAATACGTAAGTACCTACTGCATTTAACTAAGCTTATTTCTATAATGGACTATATTCGCACTTTCCACCAGGCGCGGTGCAGTCATTTTGCCGAGTCACAATAAAAAAAAATGTAGCATGAGGATATTGTGATGAACTGCTTATTTTTTGCAAATTATGTTTACACTACCCTACGCTCGGCGGGTGTTGCTTTTACTTGCTCTTATTATACTACGATAGAACCGAGAATCTCCTGATCTTCCTGAAAATACCTTTTAAAATCTTTAATTACATGTTTTACGGATAGGGCGCTGTCAAAATACCATTACAATACAAGTATTTCTCAATATCTTTCGGCTATGTTCGTCTTTCGGCTGTCGTTGGAATTCTATCAGTTGTTCTTTGCACTTGGACTTGCAGATCGGACGCAATCAATCGACTTTCGAGGTATACCGAGTAGCTACTACTCTTTATTTAGCACACTTTTTGGCTTTTTTTTTTTTTTTTTTTTTTTTTGGTACATTGTTAATGAGTAAATGTTACTATTACAAGGACAATGGTTTTACAGTCAGCGGCTATATTAATTACGTTATGTAGTTTATATGAAAAACAAAATGAAGTTCGTAAATCTGAATTAAATTTATTGTAGATGATAAATTCAATAATTACATGAAAATTTGTATTCAGGTTCATGGAAATTTGCATTGGGACATTCGAGGATTGCCGAGATATTAAAAAAACAGTTGTAGTGTACACAAGTAAACATTCACAACATTTACAATCTACACCTTGAACTAAAATGGCGCCGAAAAGAACATAGACAAAATGTATATTAGATTATATTGAACATTTATGTAAACATATGCACATATAATAGTTTTAGGTACATTTAATTATATGTTTGTGCTTTAGAGACGTGCTTCTATGGACAGTTTAGTTTTTTTCGTGTTTTAGTTTATTTTTATTAAATATTAACTTTAGGTATTTTAGATGGGTTTTTTATTATATTGATACAGGCGTAAAGCTTTCAGTTCCGATGAAGTGCCTATACCATAAAACCTATATCTTACAAAGTGTAACAATATAAACTCCTTTCGGTGAGAGAGTATTCAACAAATTTTGAACGCAAAATTGTAAAAAGACTTAATGTCGTTGTTGGATAAAATGAATCTTATGAAAGGAATTTACAAATTTTACACCTTACAACAAAAGCCGAAATTTGAATAAGTATTTCGGTGAGATCCGAGTAAAAGCCGGAAGCTTTTAAACTGTTAAAATTTACACAATTTTAAACATACATACATACCGTGATTCCCAAAAGGAGTAAGGGGCTCTTAGAATCTACCCACTAAAAGTAAACTATTTCAACAAGGCGTGACATGTTGCAAGCACATCGTCGCCGCACATAGACTTAAAACGCTATCGATTATATAGACACTTATTAAGACTGTCGTCTCACAACAATGAAGCTGGGGAAAATCAACCAATCAAATTGCTTGAAAGACAATCTCGGCGGAACCTGACAGGTTATTCAACGTCGCCAAAGTCATGTAATTTCCCACAACTTGATCGGTTGATTATCCCAGCTCTGCTTCGGTTGACGGGCAGCGATGACTTTCAATTAAGACTAAATTTCGAAACAACATCTAAAAATGGAGAATCAAACGTAGACTTGATGAAGGATCATGCACGATATGAGGTTTACTTGACAATGGAGAAGACAGAACCAACGCCATGCATATATTGAGGATTTACACTTGATCGAACCGTGTAATTCAACTGGTTGAGTCATTCAACATATTTTTGCCTGTGGACTAATCAGACATAGGACCACAGGTGAAAAACATCGTTAATGATTTTATCAGGTGAACCACTCAATAGGAGCATGAGTAATATCCAAAATCAAGACCGTTTAACTATTCTAGACTATAGAATGATGGTAATAAAGCTTATCTTTCCTAGTAAAGTGATGGTAAAAATTACAAAGACTATTAAAATTTAAATTAACAGGGGCGACAATTAAAGTCCTTCTTAGCCTAAGACACGAATTTTAGTTTTTATCTTTGATATTGAAAAGGCTATAATTTAGATGCGACATTCCCAATCTTTATTATACCAACGGAACTTATTTTATACCTTGAGAGGCTTATTTATGCAAGCAAGCAAACTGCGGCATGGTGATGAAGAATATCTCTAATAACTAAGCAACGTCGCCTCTAAACTGTTAACCTTTGGAAATGATCTTGCTATCAAAACGTTCCATAACGGCAAGTGTTTTGTCGCTATACAAGGAGTGAATTAATAGAAAGATCTAGTCGGAAGGGGTCTTCTAATTTATTGACATTCGATCGGCTTTACATCATACGACAATCAACAAAATTTTATCAAGAATTGGTTCGGGTATTACAATAAAAATTACATAACAGCGTTCTTACTCTAAAATTTAAGGTTCTATGCAAGCTAGTGGCAATCTATTTTTACTTGATGTTAGATTGTCATACGTCGTCATACGTCGGACTTAAATCAATAAATATGTAGACTCCGTAAAACGAAGAGAACAGCTGACAAATCAAAACGAGGCGTGCACGACTACTGAAGAGGCACTAATCGGGGCGACGGCTCTACTGGTCCTGGTACCTGATGGTAGCTCTTATCGTCGCAATCTGACGCGTCTATATCGTAACCGCAACGCGGCGACTCGTCGTGCGAGTCGACGATGTAAGACTTTTTCGTTTCCACATCAAACATCTTATCGAATATCCTTTGGGCCTCCATATCGGGACTGTAACGATCTGGGATCGGGTCCTGAAGTTGCAAAACGTATGTCACACACTATTTACATACGGCTGCATTTACATCATTAGAAGAATAATAATCATCAACTTGAAAACAAACACAATTCAGTTTAACATAGATATCAATGCTGATGATTTGAATTTATAGTTAAGAAAAGTAAAACACTTACCAGAACTGTTCGACTCAAGCTTTCGGTTGCACGCACGGTCTCTTCATAACAGTAGTCTGTAGGATCAGCTGAAGACGGCAGATGCCACGATCCCTCGGGACTCGAGGTACGCTCCGATGGTTTAGTGCTCTCTGATTGTCTGTCCGTCCATGGTGAGCTTGTCGGATGAGTATCCACGAGTTCTGGTGGTGTGTGGGCCGAAGCAGGCGACGCTGTGCTGTCAGGTGGATGACCACTCGTTGCAGACGCGAGGTTAAACGCTTGGAGATTATGTAGCGCTGCCGTAGGTAATCTCACGTGGCGAACTCCCGGACGTGATAAAACTGGTTTCAGTCCCGCCGGACCAATCAAACGTTGTAGTAACAGTGCATTTGTAGCCCCACTCTCACCGCCGCCGACTGTAAGAAGCTTTGGTACGCGATTAGTCACAATTGCAATCTGTTTCCCCCCTTTCATCATAGATACAGGCAAGATGTAATTTGCCGGCATGAGAACTGCCGCTGTTGGTTTTCCGGCTGTTCCCCTAGCAACGGTAATGGTTTGTCCGTCCGCCACAATGACGTTACGTTGCTGCGGGGCCGGTCTTGGCGGTGGAGTCACAGGACGCTCTGGTTCAAATGTCAGTTTTCGAGCAACTTTGCGTGGGCTATCTTGCGGTGATTGGTTTTCATGACAACTTTCGGCACAGTCTTCTTGCGACGTACCACAGCTACTGTCTTCAGAACCCATTGTGCGGCAAGTGTCTTCTCCAAGAACAGGACTGACATCTCGCGTATCAGACCTTCTCGAACCACTGGAGCTTTTCTTACGTTTGGAAGAACCTGGTGGATTCGTCGGTGGGTTAGATCTTCTACGAGGTGCAGGTTTATCTTTATCCGGTGAATTTTCAACTTGTTCCTTGTATTCCGCCAATATGTAGAGAATCCTCTGAGTAGTTTGTTCATCTTCTAACGGTTTCTGAGTTGACGCTTTTGGAGGCAATGAATTTACTTTCGGGGAGTGGTGGTGTTTAGGCCGGGACTTAGACTTGAACTTTGGTTTTGGTTGAGCATTAGTAACAGTTTCACTCGTAGATGCTTCAATTGTCTGCGGTAACTGAACATGATTAGATGATGAAGGCGAGTCTATTATACCTGAGGAGTCTGGCGACCGCACAAATGTACATGTTGTAGGTGTTGATACTGTAGCTTTTCTGTTTACGTAAGCAACATTTAGAGGCTGGTTGCTACCGATAGAATAAAGCACTTGCGTTGTTTCTGTTGGTGTATTGCTTGTAGAAACAGTGGTGTCTGTAGTATCAGTGGATGAGGCATAGAACTTAAACTTGCTGCTAGACGCTGAATTAGGTTGACCGGTGCTTCGTTCTTTCACTTGTTCCAAAACCATGTCAAATTCTCGTAACTGTTCCAAGGTAGAAGTACTCATATGAGATTCTGAAGTTTGACTTTCAACTTTAACAGACCTTGTTTGTGATTGTGGAAGCCTTATCGTTTGTTGACCAAGTGGGGGAGCTGCTGTTAAAACCAACTGTTGATATACGGGCTGGTTTGCTCCGCCTATAACATTTCTTTGGATTTGGAAAAACGATGGCCTAACAACTCGGGCACCAGGGACCATTTGGGGTGCTTTACTTAACATAGGCAATTTTATTCGCATTTGAGTCAGCACAGGTTGTGGTTGAGGATTTTGATTACATTCGGTTGATGTATTCATTGGATGATTTTCGTCATCAGCGTTTACCTCGGCATTAGAAGCGGCTTGCGTTTGTGGTACAATCTTTATAATAGACGGCTCTATTTCACTTTGGTACTTCACATCTGATTGCTGTTTCTGATTAGATTCGTCAAATTCAGTGCTGGGTACTATAAGGTTTATTGTTTGTCCTCCAGCAATGTTTACTGGTATTTGGCGTGTGTAAATAACACCACCGTGCATTGTTTGAATGTTCATCGGAGCAATGGTTTGCTTCATTTGTTGCATAGGTTGAGGTTGAGACGTATGCGTTGGTTTTCTCAAAAGTAGGGGCGGACTACCTATTGGTCCAATGTGATCTAAATTAATTGAATTTTCTGCAGGCGGAGTGCATTCGGAATTCTCTGTAACATTCACTGAAGTCAAATTATTACCCATGTCATTTTGCTTCTGAGTTCCATCTTGGAATACTTGTTTACCAAAAGCTTGGTTGAACTTGGGCAAACTAGTAGACTTTTCTAGAATTTGAGTTTTCGTCGCTACATTTTGAATGAATTTAGCATAATTTTCTTCGTACACAGAACGCGATTTTATTTCCTGTTGACTAGTAGAATCTTTACCAGATGTAGGAGGGGCTGTAGGGCTTAACTCCTGGTTTTCAAGCTTTGGCGTTGTAGTCTGTACATTAGGAGTCTCGATGGGCTGCAGTCGCAAAACCATACCTCGTTGATTTGCATTCAGTTGAATTGACTTTCCATCTGCAGATTTGCACACAAATTGTACCAATTTTTGCTCATTAGATCCTTGAAGATTTGTTAATAAATTCACGCGTTTAAGTAATTGCCCGGCGTTATTGTTTTTCTGATTTCCTGTATTCACTATGTGAAGAAGTTGGTTACCTCCTTGTTGTAGACCAGCGTCAACTAAAGACAATCCACTGAAGGAGTTCCCTGCTTGAGTTGGAGCACCATTTGTAGTAGGTCCTGAAGTAGCACTTTTATTCTGAACAATATGAAGTACAGGAGTTGCATTTGGGGTATTAATAACAGATGGTTGTGAATTATCCACTAAGGTAATTTGATTTCCCGCCGTATTTTTACCTTGTACAATATGCAATACTTGAGGTGCTATAGCATTTTGATTCGGCTGATTATTTTCTGTGTTGTTAGTCTGATTCAGCGGTGGTGGTAAAATTTGCGCCAATGCTTGTTGCAATGCCATAGCGTTTATAGTTTTAGTACAGTTATTTGCAGAATTTTGCGAGGATGACAAAGAATTCTTAAGCAACTTTTGCGATAAAAGATTAACAAATGCATTTGTTTTACTATTTGCTCCTGTGTCTGTTGTAGTAATACCAGCTGCATTCATTGCGTGAGCAATTTGATCAATTTTTTCTGCCGCTCCATTTGCTGCCTTTTGAATCATAAATGTATCAGATTGTTTTTCAGGGCCAAATAACAACTGCAGGTTTTGTTCAGAGTCTGTTGTATTGTTTGTTTCATAAGAGTACCCGATGTTATTAATATTTGCGTTGTTTTGATCAACACTTGTAGGTTTGTGACTTTCATCGATCTCTTCTTGATTGTCCGAATCAATTTCATCTTTAATTTCAGTTTTAATTTCTGTCTCTATAGGTATGTTTTCATTCGACATTGATATATTTGTCGGATCTGGTTGTTCAATCTTTATTTCCGGGTTTTGTTGGGTGTAATCCTGTACTAAGGGTAACGTCATTTCTGCAGTAGTGAGTTCTGTGTATTCAGTCTTAATAGCTTGTGACCCATCTTGCGGACTATTGTCCAATGAACATTGCGATGGACTAGCGTTAGAAACCTGAGTGACACGTGGATCGCAAGTCACAGGATTTTGTGCTGCAGCACTAACAGGTAGTTGCCCCACTTGGACTACTTGTACCACCACATTCGTCGCGGAAGGTTCCGGTAAGGATGGAATGTACAAATCGAAGGGAAATGATGGCGCGTCCTCAGTTTGATCTTTGTCTTTTTGTATGTTGGGCGTATATCTATTCAATTCGATTTCAATGTTCTTGAAAAATGATTGCACTTTGCTTCTAAGTTGGAAATAATTGAAGCAACGTCTTATTTTGTCGAGTTGATCTTGGTTTTCTATTTGGAAATTGGCATTGTTAGAGTGTTTACGGTTTTCGGACAGTAAAAACGGCTGAAGCAGTTTTACGTCCGACAGAGTCGCAGCCGAAAATTTCGAAATCGCACCATCATCTTCTAAATTTTGTATGACTCTGCCGGACCCTTCACCAAAACCCATATCGGCATTGTTGTCTTCAGTTTTGTCACAAGAAAGGTCTGATATCTCATGTGTGGCTGTTATTTCTTCAGCCACTGTCATTTCCACCGGGTCAAATATAGCACTTTCATTATCGCCTGCGAACAAATTAATATCAAATTCAGTTTTGTCTTTACATTCTTGTATGCAAGGTCCTTTGATGGGCCAATCCTTGATAAGTTCTGATACGTCAATATATTCTTTGCTGTACGACACAGCATATGAAAATTCGATGGTATTGTAATACTCAATTACACGAGTATATTCCTCAATGTATGAGGCCTTAATTAAAGCCGTCCTCAATTTTGGTGAGTTGATATTTTTAACCCTCGTTTTTGAAGCTTTGGAATTTTTTCTTTTTTTAGCAGTTGCATTTACTTCACTGAATCTCAATTTTCTTTTCTTTTTAGGTCGTTTATATGTGACTTTTGGTTCCATTAATTTTAGATCTTCGTCATGGAAATCCTGAGTCAACTCTTCTACTTTTTCGATCTTAATGTTATGATCTAAATCTTTGGCCACGTCCACATTCTCACAGTAGTCAGAAGACTCAGTTGGTGTACTACTTCCTGAACTTTTAGAAAGTGGAAAGGCATAGCATGTTCCCAACTCCGGATCTTCATATTCGATGCCTTTTAAAATAACATCAGAGTCCTCCTTGTATACGTGTGTTGTATTTTTTTCTGCATCATTTTCGTCAAAATCTTCAATACATCCGATAGTTTGTTCTAGGACTATGTAGTCCTGCTTTGAGGTCATCGATGTGTTAATGGAATCAAAAGTGTCACAATTTTTCTCCGTGTGTTTACGGTCCTCAATACTCGATTTAAATTTTTTCAAGCATACATTTTCATCTTGTTTATGATTCGATGATTTTCCAGTTTCAACCTTTTGTTCCAATTCGTCGTAACGTGCGTCATTCAATGGCATTTCTTTTACAGCGGTTTCGCAGAAGTAATTATGATCGTTTAAAATTACAACTTCCTTGTAATATTCATTAATATTAGTCGTGTATTCAGTACAAAAGTCTGAATGATCTACTTCAAAAGTTCTCGCTGCTTGCTCGCTGTTGTTATCTTGCATAACAGATGTCTGTATGGTGTTGTTATTTGTGAGATTTCGTTCTAGCGACTCTGTGTTGATAGGTATTTCGGGCACTTCAGCCGTCAATGTGTAAGAATCATTGCCTATCTCCGTTTCGTGCCCTATCCAATAGATATTTTCATCAGTACGGTTTGCTTCACCATTTTTTAAAATATCGTTGCGCATGTCTGATATCAAAATTTTCTTTAGATGTACTTGTTTATTTTCCTCTTCACAAGATAATTTTAAAATCAACGTATCCTGGTTTTTAAGGTGAGTATCAGTATTTTTTATATGTCCAGGAACAGTATTTTCTGTCTTCAACTCGAATAGTCCACAATCAGTGTTTACTTTATCTAAATTCTCGAGTGTATAGTCGGATTTAGTTTCTATTTCACGTAGATTCGTGATATTTTCAGATGATGTTTGTTTACTGCTTGCAACTTCCATAGCTTCTAAATTTATGTTCTCCTTATTTCCAATTTGTTGTTGTTCTGTGTCCTGGTCAATCTTCTCTTGCTTTATACCATATATGTTCTGGTCAATCTTCTCTTGCTCTATACCATCACCCTTCTTCGCTACAAATAAATCGGCAGCACTATCTGTTGAATAAAAATGTGGTGCTGAATACTTCATCTCATAATGACCATCCATTCTTATATTAGTGTTCATTGTTGTTAGTTCATTGAAACATTCCTGTGCATTTGTTACAAGCGTTTTAGAGGCTATATTCTCTTCAATGATATTACATGTCCCTTTCGCAATTGTTGGAATATGTTGATCCATTTCGATGTCAACATTGGATCCAATAGATTGGTCTGAGTTTATATTCAGTGAATTGATATTTTGTATTCGTGATTCACCTTCAAAACTAACATCATTTGTTATGTCTTGAATAGGTGGACTCAGCTCAGAATTTACAGCGCAATCTTGCAATCTCTCAGACATATTAGTTGAATTAGACTCCGTAACATTGGTTGGACTAACGTTATGCGCAATAGTTACTATTTTAGAACTTTCTGCACATATTTGTATTACCTCGTCTTCTACATCTATGTCTTTGTGAGTATTGCCAACGACCTTGGTTATTTTGTTTGCCACTGTGTCTTCCCCAGTCTGCAGTTTTCTTTTGAGAGGGGATGAAACCTTTTCTACCCCAACATTTGCTATTCCATGCACGTGTTGTAGCCGAGTAACCAAAGGATTATTCTCGAAGTACCGCGCCATTATTGATGTGAGAGTTGGCACTTGGACAGTTTCGGTGCAATGTTTTAGCAGAATAACTAAAGGATTATCTTCGAAATACCTCGCCATGATTGTTGCAAGTTTTGGTACCTCAAAAGTTTTGATGCAATGTTTTAGCTGGATACCTAAAGAATTGTCTTCGAAGTACTTCGCTAAAATTGCAGTAAGTTTCGGCACTTGGAAAGTGTACGTGGAGTCCTCGATTTCCCCATTCGTTAAAACTGTGCTATCGAAGTCACTTTCACAATCAGTCAAAGAGTCTGCTGTGTCATCAGCAATAGTTTCAGATAATACTAAGTTGTATTTTCCACCCACTTGAACTTGGCGACGCAAAGTGGACTTCGTAAGAAACCACTCCGAATCACATAACCTTGTAAGGCATACTGAGACTCCCGGTTTTTCTTTTTCCGCTTCTTCTCCGAATACTTTGGAACGGCTTTGGGCTCGTGCTATTATGTCAAATACCTCAATTACAGGCGAGCTTCTTTCAAGAGCTTCTACGATGCGTAAAGATGAAATAGTTTCAAACATATTGATGACAGGCAAACTTCTGTCGCTGTCTACAATAGGTACGTCATCAAAGACTAAATCATTTAAAATTGAAAATGAACCACTACGTGACAAACCTGGTGAAGAGGAGTCTATTACTGAGCAAACAGCTTCAGAGTCCTCAGCAGCAATTGCGTGATCATTGTAATTTTCATCTGTTAAATCTTGAAATACTTCTTTACTTTTTACCTGATCGTCACATCTTACTAATTTAACGTAGTATTTTCGGTTCATAATGCTGGCATAAAATTCACTTTCTTCTAGGATACAATTCTCGTCCTTTGTATTATTTCTATCTATTTTCGCCGTTATTGCCCTTGAGTTGTGTCGGTTTGTATCATCCAATTTTTCGTCACTTTCTATACCCAAGTCGTTCAACAAATGTTGTGTCAAAGTTACTAGCGTATTTTTAGCAGACTCCTCCTTCAGTGCTGTTTGAGTCGAACTTTCCGAGATGTCATCAACGATACCCGAGTCTTCCACTAGAAAGTTTCCAAAAGTAGTAACTTTTTCGACTGAGCCTAACACAGCAGTTTGTACACTATCATTAGAAGAATCGTCAACCTGTATAATGTCAGGAATTATAGTTTCATTTGAAGTCTTGTCCAGAATTAATAAATCTTTAAGACCTCTACTAAATACTAGATCCACATTTCCAGTCGTACAATTAGTTAGGGCAGGGTTCCTAATAACAGAAACTGGCTTGATAACATCTGTGGAGGTGAATGAAGTCTGGCACCTATTAAGTTTAATTGAACATTTTTGTAAGAGTTTAGCCTGGTGTTGTGTGAATAAATCTTTAGCAATAGATTTTGTTTTGTATTCGCCAAATTCTGTAGCGAAACTTATGGCAAGTGGTGATTCGTCTTCATCATCGCTGATCAGATTAACTGTTTCAACGGTTACATCTTCTTCAGCCACTGCATTCGCTTGTATATTCATTGCTTGCACTTCAGTTTCCAATGTCTTTTTTTGTGTTGTAAGTTGTTGAATGTTTAAGGTGTAACTTTTTTTGTCACAGAGGCCACTCAGAAAAATTTTTTTCACCTCTGGCACTTGAAACAAAGTATCAAAATTAACGTTTGCTTTGCCGTAAATAGTTGCTTTAAAAACTTTGCCATTTGGTGGTTTCACACGAACTATTCTCTTAAAAGGATCTTTAGGATCCCGAAAAGGCAGTTCCTCAAAACGTACATTGTCGATGTAGGACTGACGAATTGGTAGATTTTTGGCATATTTCTGGGGCATTTCGTTGGTATTTTCCTTCAACTCATCGGATGATTTATTAACAGTTTGTACGCCAGTAGCCGTTTTATTTTTACAACATTTCATTAGTCCAGATGCAGATGTTGCCAATTTTACTGTATTTTCAGATACAAAAGTTGTAGCATTTGGAGGATCATCTGTTTCTCTTTCTTCTACAGTATTGTTCATGGTGTCCAATGCTTTACTTTTAACAGTAGACTTTGTAATTTTACATTTTTTATTAGTACTTACATCCAAATCATCTGAATTTACGTCTGTCAGCTCATTACCTTTTATATTCTCTCTGTTGTCAGAAAACTGGACAACTGTAGACTCTTCTATGACTTCGTTTCTAACACTTTCAATTTCTTCAACAAGTTTTGCTACTTTATTTTTAGATGACTTCACGTTTTCTGTAGGAAGTGTAATGTCGTTAGACGTTACACCAGGACCTTTAGATTTTTTATGAAGGTCAGCTACAGAAACTGACTCCCGACAAAACAAATTTATTTTCATTTGAGCTTCTTGTATACAGTTTGATTTAGTTTCAGATGGATTTATCGATAAAATATTTTCTTCTTTACACGTCGTGACATTTGTGTCCGAAAAGGTGTTTTCTTGTTCTATTTTTGTAGATAAATTAATAGCTTTCTTTGGTTTTTGAGTTGTGTTACTTGACATCATGATATGATCTTTTGCCGATTTATTCAAACCGTCGATGGTTTCTTGCGTTAAGCTTTCATCAATTTTAGATCCCACTAATTTATCGTTAATACTCAAGTCGTTACTTATAATATCAGAGACATTCACGTCAGTGACATTTATCACTTGCTTTTTTAAAATTGCATGTTCCTGTACAGAATTCTTGTCGACAGCATGCTTGGGCTGAGAAATTTTCGTTTGCTTTTCTTTTACTTTCTTGATTTTTCTATTGAGTATTCTTTTTGATACACGAGTTGGGTGTGAATTTACTGTCGCATCTATAACTTTGGTTTGGTCACAATAGTTTTGCAGTTTATCCACACTATGTTGTTCAGTTTCAATATTTGGCTCTTTGTCCACTGGCACTTCTGTAAGCACAGGTTTCTCCTTTGCTGCACTAGCAACAGTTCTGTTATCTGACTCAGTAGTATTTATGGCAGCTTTTAGACGGACTTTAGTCTTTCTTCCGACAGGCTTATCTTTGTTTACAAAAGAATCTGCGTTGGAATTCAATTTATGCGTCGACCGTAATAAAATGCTACGACACGAGGGACTCTCTTTATTTTCTTTGCTAGTTTCCTTTGAACTATCCAAACTGTTGGTGTCTAAAGTAGAAGAGTTTATTTCATCGCAATAAGGTTTTAAAAATGTATCACTTTCAGTAAGTCTGTTATTGTCAATTACTTCTTTGATAACTTTTTCATTTTCCTGAGTTTTGTTATCGAAGTTCTGGTTTTTTGTAGTACCTTCCACCATCTTGTCTTCCTGTACTGGTCTAAGAGGAGAATAATTTAACGGAATAGGCGGATTCAACCATTGATTATTTACTTCTCTATTGCGGATCGCCAATCGCTTCGAAACGAGTCTATCAATATTGTTTTTAAGTAGCATTTTTTCATCTCTTACGTCAGTATTTTTATGTGATACTGTTTCCTTTATAGAAGTCTGAGGCGCAACATTTTTTGCTCTTTTGGTATTGTTGTTCAAATTGAATGGTTTTTGTTGAGAATTTTTAATTATTTCATTAGCTTGTGCGGTTTCTTTAGCAAAGTGGGATTTTAATTTTTGTGCAGGAACATTAACTTGCGTTTTTGGGCTAGCCGTGTTATGTTGCGTGTTTTGACTCGCGTCATAAGCAGCAGTAAGACTATTTTCAACTAGATTAGTTAGTATTGTTTGCGTTACTTTCGGTAATACTGTCGCTGGCGCGACAGGAATCGTGACATTTTGTAGTATTCTTTGAGCAGCATTAGCAGAAGCCGTCGCATTCGTGTTGATAGTGTTGAGTGTAATTGTATTGCCTACCAATAGAGATGCAGCAGGTGGAACATATAGCGGTTGGGTCGGTTGGTACACATTAACATTAGGAGCATTCATAGTAATGTAAGAAGTTTGATTCACATTGCAATAAACACTGAACGGTTCATAAACTTCTTCTGAGCCAAGAACAACTACATTAGGTGTTGGTTGTGATACAGTAGTAACATACACGTTAGACGGACATGCATTACTCTGTAGTGGAACTTGATTTTTGTTGAAGTTGCCATTACTAATAGTAAAGGAAGTAGTAACTTTCTGGGTTGGAATCGTAGCCTTCGGAAAGTGATGAACCACATTTGTGGTTCGAGTTGCCAGTTCTGGCATTTTATACATTTCCACTTTTTCGTTCGACAAAATCCTTAGTTTCGAATTTAGACCAATATTTAAATTTGGTTTTGTATCGTGATTAACTCCAGCATTTACGGGCAATGGTAAAACAGTAGGAGTCGTAGTAGGAGCATGGATTGCACAACGTTTTTGGGCACTTTCAGGGTTTTTACAAACCAAATTGGGTTTTTTGATGGTAACACTCTTAATGTTGCTGTTTGTGTTTTTAATACTGGCATTAATCTTCGGTCCTTTGGAGAATGTTGGCGGAAAACTTTCTTCCTCCGATAGCAGTTCTCCTATTTCTTGTCGCAAATCATCATCCATTAGTTCCTCTAAAATTTCGTAGTCAGAGTTAGGTATTCCCGATATAAACGGATCTACTTCTTTAGACATTTCACGCTCAAATTGATTATTTTGTTTTTCACCATCTTTTGCAGGTGACTCTGTTTTTTTAATAGTAGTCTGGTTTTCAAGATCCGATGTAATCGGATGAGTAGATTTTGGTACAGGTTTGTTCTGTGAAACTACCGGAACTGTCAGTATTGCATTAGGTATTTTGACCACCGATTCGCTGTTATTTGTAATCGGGGTTATTATTGTATCCGTTTTAGAATGTTTTTCAAAGGAGTCTTTCCTTAAGAACACGTCTACGGCGCTCGGATCTCGACTTGGTGTCTTTTGAGCTCTCAAAGCGTCCAGTACTTTCGTCCAGTCCTGATTAGACTCGTTGCTGTTTACTCTGCTTTGCTTTATAACATTGTCAAAATTAAGAAGGTCCGATGAGTACTTCTTGGACGACGACTTGTTTATTTCTAAAGCATCCTCATCCCTGTTCGAAACGTTTAAACAAACTGGGGTATTTTTCGTCTTTTGTGGTCGTCTGACTTTTGTTAACTTTGCAATGTTAGGTTTGTTTGATGTGTTGTTTTCACTCACAGTCAAACCTGATTTTACGACTGTGGAGTTAACTTCTGTTGTTTGAGTCTTATTTACAGATTGAATTTGTTTAATTAATTGGCCACCGGATACTTTTGAAACAGATGAACTTTCTGAAAGATTTGTAAATTTGTTTGGATTTTGTTCATTTTGCAATGACCGTGTCGCATTCATTTTGCTTTGTTGTCGTAACAATAACAATAGGTCTTGCTGATCTCTTTCACAGAGTGCTGAAGCTTTAGACGACGTCGTTATTACTGTTCTCGGGGTTTCCCAAGGAGTAACTTTTTGCTGAACTCCGACCTTAGAGTTATGTTTTTTTATTACACTGGTTGCATTATTGTTTTTCAGCATATCGGAAATAATCTTATGTTCTGTTGACAAAGTCGTATTTGCCATTGGTTCTCTTTGCACTTCTACCTTTGGATTATTTTTCATTGTTTGACTCGCATGTCGATTAACGACTAAATCTGTTTTAGATTGTAAGATTTTAGCAATTCTCAAATCAGCGATACGTTTGTCTAACTCCGCAGAAATTTGCTGATTCAACTGCGCTGTAACATCAGAAATTTGCTTGGGTTTCTCACCTTGTTTGTTCTTATGCAGATAGCTAAGACGCGCGAAGGTATGTGGTGCATTCTCTGCTTTCTTTTGATGTAGTTTGGCACTTTGAGACGTAATTGTTTCTGGTTTGGGTGTCGTAATGGGTATGGTAGGCGTTGGTGTAACTCTAGGAATGTTAGTCACATTTGGTGCGACTGGGACAACTCTTGGAACTGGAACGTTCGTAATTATTTGTGGCCTCGATATGTTAGTACTAGATGTACTTGGTACGGTCGGTATCTGTTTCGAAGCCCCATTAAGCACAATATGAGGCACAATCGGCGTCACTCGCGATACGGGTCGAATCTCCCGTCTAACTCTTTCCCTTTCGTCCTGTCTATCAGATTCTTCTGACATGAACAAACCCGCATTGTTGCACGTTTGCAATTCCTTTAGGAATTGCTCGTAACTCTTCAAATGGGTATCTGCTTTTACTTGTTGTGTTTTTATTGGAACTCTCTGAGACTCAATGTACGCGGTTGAAGTTCCAGGTCGGTGAATAGTCAAATCCTGTGCCACGATTCGGGTAGGTTCTGGCATTTGTGATTGTTGGGCTAAGCTTTGAGACTGCATTCTTTGATCTATAGTTTGCTGTGATTTGGATAGGTTTTTACGATATACATCAAATGGTAATGTCCTAGAACAAGTTCCATTGTTTTTGCTGTAGGTTTTTCTCTTGTGTGCAGTTTTATTGGCACCTTCCGTCTTCAATGCGTGTAGTTGCTCTGTGTGCTTTTTGGTTATTGTGATTTTTGAAGTCTTCATTATTTTGGAACCGACAAGTGTGGACATTGTAAGAGGTTTTTGTCGAATAACGTTATCAGTGTGTGTATTTTGAAAAGTTTGATTTGGTGCAGCATTTTTATGTGCATCTGCCTGCTTCTGTTTTCTGAATTGCATTAATTTATTTATACTTTGCTTTACTTGTTCTCGCAAGGCTTTATTTGCGTTAACTTGACAAGTAGTAGATGCATTAGAAGAAGGTGCAGTTGTTTTGTCAATATTTGTACAAATTTGGAGCTTGTTTTCTAAATCTTTTTGTGGTGAAGAAAAACTATTTACAGTAACCCCGCTAGTGGATACTCTCATTTCGAAGTTCTTGGAGAGATTAGTGTTTTTCACAACATCATCCACTGGTCTGTCGGGAGATTTCAATTTCAATTCATCCATAGAGAACTGCCCGTCATACTCAACATTTGGGTCATTCTCTTCAGAGTTCAAAGATGATTTCCCTTGGCTATCGTAATCGCTATCGGTGATACACAGGTTGTCTGCTCTCTTATGGTCTTTTAAAATTGTAGAATGAATATCAAAATTAGCGACTTTCAATCCAACAAGTTCAGCCATGCCTTTTTTCTTTTTCTTGCGTTCCTTCTTTTCTTTTTTCTTTTCCTTCTTTTCTTTGCTCTTAGATCTTACTTTCGTGCTGTCGTGGCTTTGTGATCCTGATATCTCCTTCTGGCGTTCTTTGCTGATCGACCTTTCTTTTTGTCTTCCCGCTTCGTTCAAGTCCTTGGACTTTGGTTTCTTAGAAGATTCGATAGATTCTTTACTTCTTTCTTTGCTGTGTGGTCTTTCCTTCTTCTTTTCCGATCTTTTGACTTCTGCGACTAGACTAAGAGGGTCGCAGTCATCTCCCGATAAGTCTGCTATGTGCCTGATCTTCTTCTTACTTCTTGACACAATGTCGTAGTACTCATTTGAGCTGGAGTCCGCGCTTTCTGTCCGTTCATTGTCCCACGCTAAGTTTTGCCAGATTTGTTCAGGTTGGGGTTCAAACTCGATATGATGCTCATAACCTGAAATTATTTGCGCTACTTAGTTATCATCGTGAAGAATATCGATAAAATAATGCAAGAAAAAACTTAGTCACCAAGGTGCTACATAAACCAATACCCTACCTTGAAAGTCATCAGACTTTGAGCTGTAAATGCTAGCTCCTAATCCTAGCTAATCCTAGCTCCGTGCTAGGATTTAAACTAATATGGACCGAGTCCTAAAATATAATTCGTAAAAAGAAATAATCAGAACACGAAAGAAATAATATAGTTACATCACTTAAGTGTTAAATATACAATGTTTGTTCCTTAAAATTCCACATTGTAACTGTCATCAACAAAATAAAATTAGTTTTTACACAAAATATGTGTTGCACTATAGTGGACGCAGTTCATACTGAGCAAAGTGTAGTCCGTAGTTGTAACTGTTTACCTTTCTCTATGCCATAGTAGATGTTGTTCTCGTCGTCTTCCTCTTCAGGCAGGTGCTGGAACTTTGTGAGGTCGAGGTTGAGGTACTTGAGCTCGGTGGTGAGCGCGCGTGTGCCACCGCCCGTGCGCTCCATGTACACGCGACAATTCTCTAGCAGGCCAGCTCTGTAATTTATTAACAAATGCTCCTTTTATCTTTATATACCTGTAGGGCTATAGTCATTTACGATTGCAACTGTCGTCATAAAGTTACTGTGAATGGAGTCACTCCGTATACAAAGGCGCATTTGATATCCTGTAACAATGACACTTGATTATTCGCTAAATGATATTTTAATGCAGCTGAAAACGTAATACGCGTGGCGCAATATTGTGATATTTGGTATATTACACGATAAGAAATCATTCTTACCTGTCCATGTCCCAAGAAAGAGTTTTCACTCTGGGTCCAGACAAAAGAACAGCGATGTCCTGACACAACTCCGCACTCAGACCCAACGCCTCGCCTTCATTCAATATCGTGGTAGACAAAACATTCGCCTGCTGTTGTGTATGCTTCAGGTTTAACGTCTCGGAAGTTTTCACAAAATTGGTCTGCGAGCGACTGTCGGTCGCCCAGCTACCGAATTCGGAGGTTGCCTCTGGTGCCTTTTGTTCTTCTTGAGTGTCCTATAATTCAAAATTGTTATAAATTTTATGCTGGGTACATATGGACAAAACCTCCAACTTCACTTGATCCTGTCAATCATATTGGTAATCTGCGCCAAATTTTGTGAAAACCGTAGCGCGTGTAGAAGTATATAAACAGCATGAAAACGCAAGTACTCGGAGTTATTTCCTTTACAAACTTTCATATTTCTCCACAATTTATTTTTTTCTACGTCTTGGAAATCACCATGCGCTGTCTTCTCTTTCCCTCCAGTCATAACTACCCCACTTTTTTCTCTTTTGAATCTAATCCAGACCTTATACCATCTACACGTCACATATCATGATAGCAGATCGAGGTCTCTTCTAAAACGTCTGCTAAGTCTAAAAGTACCCCACGTACACTCTTAAAATTGAGTGGTGCACCAGTCTTCAACGTCGGATAAGTCATATTGCCTAGATATAAAAAGGCGAAGTGCCATAAGGATTTGCGAAGTTTCACAGTCAGGCTCCGTCCAAATTAGAAAAAAATCTGTGTCACTATCTCCCCGTATCCAAAATGTACCAATGTTCCTATCATTCTTTCAGCTACAATGGTTCTCAGAGGATCGGAGTTTGGCGCACTGTGGGTAAGTTCGCACCCGTGCGCCTCATATTGTCTGCCTACACAATCGAGTATGTAACCAGAAATAGAGACGAAATAAGGGCCATCCATCCCTAGTAACACATCAGGCATTGGGCCTTACATCACTTTTAAATATCAACTCTCGTTTGCACTGAAATCACAAATTAGAAAACTGAATTGGTACAGCCCCAACAACGGACCTGTGAGTATGTCTCCATATATTCCAAAAATATTCTGTATTTATTGTAATAATGATAATATCTCTAATAACGGGGGGCTGTTCCATTCGGTGGTGTAGGAAAAACAGCAAAACATCTAATTACAAAACAAACGGAGTCACATTTCATCGGTAATTAAATATTAAATATGTAAGTTTGCCATTGCCGTCCATTATAGCAAAACTCAAGTTAAACTCGTCAATTTGAAGTGAAACAATTTACGACACCCGTCAATTGTTTAGAATTCGGGCTGGCCAATCGCAGCGCAGTTGTCACAGTAATGATTTAGCAGAATAGTTTTCAAACAAAATACATTATATTTCGTATCTATTTCTGGTTATATACTCGATGGCCAACACTAATTACTTCGAGATAAACATATAAAACCGACAAAAGCCGAAAAAATGGAAGTCGTACCCTAGCGACGGGCGGCAACATCGGCATAGCCTTGACGCGCTCGTACATCTGCGCCGACGGGTGCACGGAGAAGGCGGTCAAGGCGCACTCGCCGCGCATGCGCGCACTGGCGCCTAACAGCTGCCCTAGCTGCACGAACCACGACGCCAGCGTTTGCTCCAATGCCCGGGCTTCTTTCTCCTGTAACATTATTTTCGTCATAAAAATTTGAACCTATGTGGTTATTAGTAGTGGTCGCAAAAAATGTGTGGCAATCGTAACGCCACAAGTAATCGAGAAGGTAGTCGTCGACAGCGAAAGAAGGTAGACAGATATGTCTGTTCTCAAAGCTGTCATCTGCCACTGGCCAGTTAACCCGTGACCCTGGAGCTTGTAACCGTTCCGAAATATCGGGAAAATAAAAACAAATGCCGTGATAAGAAACCTATTTGTAGTGACTATCATTATTTTCATCAACAAAAGTGTAGTTCTACCTGTGCTTGCACTAATAAAAATGCCCCCGATTTTGTAATAAACTCAAATTATAACTAAATCAAAAGTGCTACCACTCAGTTAATGAATATTTTGAAGACAAACTTATGCAATACTTGTAATGATTATAAATAATTTATAAATAACTAAATTGTATTTTTAATTTTAGCTCACAAGAATTATGGTTTGTTATGACCGTACTGGGTACATGTAACATTTTAAACGTATACTTGTCTATACTACTAATGCAATTGAATGAATAAATAAACAAAAGAAAACGCAATCACAGAAAAAGATCTATGTCCCATTGTATATGTGCACTTATACAGATAATTTGTTAGCGGATACTAAAGACAATGGTACCGGCAGTTACAATCAACTAGATCCTCTACTATTCTTGATACTCACCTTCTCAATGGTCAGTTTGTGTTTCTCAAGCTCATTCATGCCGAATGTGATCGCCCGTACATATAGTTCGCACACGAACGGCTTCATTTCTCCGGCAGCGCTCTGTCAACGAGAAAACTTGTTATAATTTTTTTTTCCTCGGGGTCAACACTTTACACAATTTCCAAAGATTGTCAACTTTCTTCGACACTACTTCCTTCCTTCGAGGTATTCCTCTCGCAGTAAAAGTAAGTAATATTATAGGCGCTCTTAAATTATTCTCGATCCATGTAATTGACATGTCAGTCCAGCGGATATCACTCTGCATTTGGACGTAGTTCAGCAAAAAGAATCCACAAAATTATGAAATATTGAGTAATTTATTTATTTATTTATTTATTCATTTGGAACACCAACAGATTACACAGACAAAATAAGATTAAAAGAAAACATTCGGTAAGGCACAGTTCTTATACATAGAGCGCACTGTAAGTTTCCAGAACTGGCCACTTACATAAACAATATTTAAAAAGTAATTACAACATTTGAAAATGGAACTCTTTGGCTGTAGAATACAGTTTGTGTCATCTCACTGTCACTTGTTTTTACATTGTGGCGTCATTTTAGAAATTGATTGTCTACATCACCATGAATTTAACTCGTGAAAATTTTCGTACTATGATTTTCTACGACTTTAACTGTAATTGAACAGGTCAGCGGAGCTTCGGTCGGTTTCAAACTGGTTTTGGCGATGAAACACCACGCAATACGACTATTTATAGCTGGTTCGCAGAATTCAAACGCGGTCGTGTGAATCTCAGTGACAAATTTCGTGATGGTCGCCCGTCCACTGCTGTGAACAACAAAAACATCGATGCTGTGCGCCGTATGATCAAAACAACAGGCATGTGACATAACATGAGATTCGGGCATCTTTAGGCATAAGTCAAATACATTGGCTGGGTGTGAAAAAGCTGTGCTCTCGGTGGATCCCACACAATTTCACTGAGGCTTAAAAAACGGATCGTGTCAAATTTGGTATGGGACATAGTAACAGGTGACGAAACATGGATTTATAGTTACGATCCCAAAACAAAGCAGCATTCGAGCGTAAGGGGTCTTTCGAGATGAGTCGAAACCAACCAAAGTGGCGCGCGTGCAAAGTGCCTCTAAGCGTATGATTGCTTCTTTTTTTTATTAAAACTGGACATGTGGCTACTGTTGCTTTGGAAAATTGTTGTACCGTGAATAGTGATTGGTACACGACCATTTGTTTGCCGGAAGTTATTGACAAACTTCGTAAAAATAACCGTAAACGCCGTATCATCTTGCTCCACGATAATGCCAGTTCTCACACGGCCAGACAGACAAATGAATTTTTGAAGGTGAACAACGTTGACCTTATGAGCCATCCCGCGTACAGTCCCAACCTGGCGCCTTGTGACTTTTATTTATTTCCAAAAATGAAGAACCAGTTACGCGGTCAAGTATATTCATCACCTGAAGAGGCTGTCGAAGAGTATGAAAAATATGTTTCAAAGATTGTCACGGAGGAGTGGTATAAATGTTTTCAAAATTGGTTCATTCATAAGAAAAACGGCATTAACGCTAACGGAGAATATTTTGAGAAACAATAAATTCATTTCTGACCATTTGTAGTATTTTTTCTTATTCATTCCGGAAACTTATAGTGCGCCTCACGTATGTGAATTGCCAATTACAAGTATCCACATCACTCAATATATACCTAGATACAAAAATAATAACAAATTAAAAACAACTTTAAATATTAATAATCCAATTATTCATTAATGTACTAAAATTTCAGGTAAATAATTGATTATAAGATCGGAATGAATAGTTGATTGATGTAAATATGACAGTGAAATTGTATTAATTAAATATTTTGTGAGACAAAAGAAATAACAATGAATTTACATTTATATTTATAGAAAGAATCATTACAAATGTTAAGACCAGTTGAATTGCAATTATTAATTATGTTATAAGAACGACACATTCTACACAAAGGGGAATTCAGAAGTATATTTGTACGACAAGGTGAAACATAAAAAAGTTTTGTAATTCTGTGCCAGGGATAACTAAATGCAACACAGATTTTTATGCGTTCTTGGATTTGGTCACAACTAATGATACCATTCACAACCTTGTACAGAAAAAGGAGATCAATAATTTTTCGACGTTCGAACGAGAGGCGTTGTTCATATGGGCTTCTACGAGATATGCCTGACCGAATTGAATGCTAAATGTCTTGTAAAGGCGCGTTGCAAGCTCTTTATGCGTACCGAATGGACGGCGTACATCGGATTCCAGACAACAGAAGCAAATTCAACAATACTGCGAGATATACTGTTAAATAATGCAATTTTGGTATGAGCATTAGAACTCTTTGTATTTCGCTTTATAAAACCAATCATTCGTGCAGATTTCTTCACTATTGTGTCAATTTGTGAGATGAAGTTCAGTCGACTGTCCAAAACAACACCCAAATCGCGAATCTCTGATACCTCCTTTATATCGGTGTCATCAATTTTATAGTGTAATGGGATAGGATTTAATTTTTTAGTATATTTTATGTGAAAACATTTTTGGCTTTTAATATCATTCCATTACACGTATATGTACCAAACGGTTCCTAAAGTATAACCTCTTAGATCAGCAAAAAAATCCAACACAAACATAAATAAATATCTCTGGAGTTAATCACATTATATGTTTTGAAAATAAAACAAGAGAGTCAGCGTCTGTTTCGACCGAAATAGACATATTTCTGAGTCGTATCCTTTTCCTCGCTTGAGCCACTACGCACACTTACTAACTTAAATTAATAAGTCATTTGTTGTTTTCTTTTTAGTTGTAATTTTAGATATAAGTGTGTGTAGTGTTTCAAATTCAGTGAATAAACTTCTTTCTTTCTTTCTTTCTAAACACTTTTAAACTTCAAACTGCCATATCTCGAAAGTGACTGAATGTGCATTGGATCCTTTTTGTTTAACTACGTCCGATTGACGCCTATACCCGGCCTTCCATCCTAGACGGAACGCGTACCTGCTGCGCGTGCACGGCAGTGGCGAAGGTGTGCAGGTGGCGCGCCGTGGCGGCGGGCGCAGCCAGAGTGGCCGTGGCGTGCGGCAGACGCTCGGCTGGCAGCAGCCGCGCCAGTGCGCGTGCGCACCAGTACAGCGCGCCGCGCGCTGAGCCGTTGCACTCCGGGATTACCATGCAGCGGGCGATTACCACCTGGGTACACAGCGACTGTTAAGGCCCGCGTATATGGGACGACTTGTCTTCTAGATCCGTCGCTTCACTTATCGAAACGACGAGTCGAGACTGTATGTTAATATCGAGTTCTTAGGTTTTCGCGATTACACATAGGAAATAAAACTATTTTTCAGAATTTAAATCGCGTATACTTGTTTTTTCAAACAAACCAACGTTTCGGACCCTGTACAGGTCCCATGGTCACAGTTGACTGAGGTGGTAAAGTCATCGAATCGTCTGTATACGGAGGCCAATAGCAGCAGAGAGCTATAATAATTAGGAAAGCGCACATTATAAGATCATAGGTCCGATAGCAACTGAATCAGATGCTATCCTATCTCAACTCAAATTACACCAGGAAAGTCTCCTCACTTTTAGTGCACAGTCGCACCCCCACCCTCAATATAGAAAGCAACTTCAGAATTGTACACAGACGTCTGTGTACAGGTACGTACCTGTGTAACAAGTATCGCGACATCTTTGGCATTTTTCCACAACTTCTTCTCTTTCGGAAAAACTTCCAAGCGGCTCTGGAGCCGCTCCACCAACTGGTAAGTACTGTTCAACGGCGCTTGTTTTGCCTTAAAATAGATTATTTAATTAATAAAATACTTAATTCTAATAAATAGTCTCCAAATACAAAATAATTATGTGCTTTATACTTCGTTTCATTCAATTTTCAACAAAATGTAAACAAACAACTCACTGACCTGACCATAGACGGTCTAGTGATGGCCAATGGCAATGGCAACTACAAATCGATTAATTAATTGAATGAATCGATTTGTTCAATTGAGTGATGCCAACGGTTTTACCTACATAACCTATTAAGCATATTTAATACTTCCGAAATCTTAAGTCCTCCTTCAAATTCTTAAACTTAGATACTCGTTCGATTGCGATTGAAATCAACGATTTACTAATCGATTACAAAAATTTTCATTGAATGAACTGAATGTTTTTTTTCGTACAGCACTGTGCAACCATAGACAAGTCATAGATGTATAGAAGAAAAATAACCTCACTTTTGGACTACCATTTTTCAAATACAATTTTATGATGCTATTCAAATAAATATTGTTGGAAAAAGTGATGATATATCAAGTCGAAATCTTCGAAATATACGTGAAAGTGTTACTTATTCCATTTATCGAGTGACTGTTTTAGAATTTTAACCAAATAGTTTTGATTACTTTTTGTTGAAAATGGATTGGAACAGACTATAGTATCATTTAAAGTAATACTGTAGAAAAATTAAATGTAATGCTCGTAAAAAAATTAAATGTAAGGGTTACACCACTTTTAGGCTGATAGTCTCAATTACGAGTCAACCCAAGGCATTTATTTCTATTACCATGGATCGATCAATAACTCAAGAAGACTGCTAATCTCCATACTACAGAGCGTAACTTTCTAAACGGTCAATATCCCTTCTTACATCTAGATGGAGCTGGCGAAATATCCAAAAGTTGCAGGACAAAATGTAGTTTGTTCTATATAATAATAGAAATACCGTATTAAGGGGTGTTTCAAGTTATAAAAAAAAATACTGTAAATGATGACACAGTACACTTATCTTAAAAACAATCACAATCATCCCTGACACCACTAATGAAAAGGAATTATTTACAACAGATAGCGTGCAATTCTAAATTAAACATTATTCCCTGACAAA